GCAAAAAAGACCAAGGCAATAATGGGCAAAGATATTATTTTCTGAGGAGGAAATTCTATGTAATAGATTTTGTGTAACAGAAGATATTCTTATGGAGCTAAGGGATTTGGAGAAACAGCTGATATATAATTATTTATGTACATTAGAAACAGTTGTAGTAATTGTCAGTCAGGGCATTCTTCTGTGGCTGAAATATAAAGAAAAAGAAACACAAAAACACTGCATTAAAAGAAAAGAGAAGAAGGACCATCTAACCATTGGCAGCCTTTCTTGCACCTCTTTAGTTAATAGTGGTCCTATATTATAAATGTTGCTTCAAATTGTTGATTATCAAATTACAGCCAAACAAAATTATTAATAAAAATAAAAGGAAAGAAGCAAAAGTGTTTGTTAGTTGTGTATGTGCAACTGAGAAAGAGAGGTAGAAATGTGCAATCCATGGATTGGTTAGTTTTTTCTTCTCTTCCAAACACAAACAAATAAAGGATTCTTTATCTAACTGAATCTTTAATTCATATTATCTATCTTAGTTCAGTTTGATTTAGGGGCGAGCAAAATGGCCTATTAAACCGAATTCACGGTATTTGATTTGGTTGATTTGTTTACAATAATTTCATTTCTCGGTTGACTTCGGTTCAAACTGAAGTTTTAAGATAATTCACTTGGTTTGATAAAATCTAATCGGTTAAGTTTCAAATTGTATTTGTCCTATTAAAGAATGACCTATCGAATCGAGTTGGTTTGATTCAATTTGATTCTCACATTAATTTTGATATCGATTTTGATCTTGGAAGTTAAGTTTGTCCTTCTGAATCTTGATTCTTTTTTATTTTAAACTGAATCGACTGTTTGCTCACTTTTGTATATCTTGTTTCAAGCACAAACAAATAATAAATAAATATGGCCAAATATATAAATTCATGATGTACTTTTCACGAAAGGTTTTTTTATACTCAACTTTTATTTTCACTCTAAACGTTTCAACATATAAAATTACTTCTATTAACAGTTCAATTTGCGAAATTATTCTGTTCAACATTTCAACTTATAAAATTAAATTGATAAATACTTATTAAAAAATTGAAAAATATAAAAAATTCATTACTCGTGTGACAATGTGTATCGAAAGTCATAATTCTTGGAGCACAATATATTTTCTCTAAAATTTTGGGTACCAAATAAATATTGATAGGCTAAGTCATGCATATGTTTTAGGCCTGCGTTTTATATTCCTTTTAAACTTATTTTTAATGCTCTTTAAATTATGATTAGAGGTGAATGTTACATAAAAATTGTGCATAATGTATGTATATGAACAATGTGATAATAGCACGTTGACAAAAAACAAGTATGAATGTCTTTTTATTGAAAAAATGGAAAAAATATTATTTAAATAAATAATTCTTGAAATACTCTTCACTTATGAAATAGGTGTATAATATCTACAATAATTTTTTTTTCCTCAGTTTACATATGTGACATCTTACTGACTCGAGTCGTTGCATAAAGTCGAGTTGAGTCCGGTTGAACCAAAATCCGGTTCGAGCCATTAGAGTCTAGAGTGGGGTAGTATGGGATGTACAATAAGAATAAAAAAAAGTGGACTTACTTAAATGAGACAAAAAGATCAAAGTATAAGGATTATGACTTACTTGCACTCAAATATAAAGTTTAGGTATTAACCTGTATTCTGTTGCAAATATAGGTACTATTTAGTAATTTCTCACATAAAATCATTGCTATATTGGAGCTTTCCCGAGACATCCATTTCACTTTCCCTTCTTCATCTTTATCTTCATCTCCTTTACTCACTTCTTTTCTCCATCTTCTTCATCTGTATCTCCATCAATTTTGCAGAAAATTGATGTAGAAAGCAACAACATGATATTATATTCAGCATACATAAGGATATCAGCCTAAAAGAACATAGGTTCAACCAGCTTATAGAGTCTCGGTTCGGTTCATTCGGGTTTAGGGGTGAACCGGAAAGAGATGTTACAACATATGTGTTTTTACATTCAGATTAGAGTATATTTAGGTAAAATTCGCCCAACAACCCGAGAAATCGAATCCTTAAATTCCATGTAAAAAGTGAATACTTTTTATTATTTTGCAGAAAGTAGCTTCAATAATGGTGCAAAACGTTGTCTATCCTAATCGTATTTAATTAATCAATTGATATGCAACTTGACGTTAGCCGGACCCAAAAGGAAAGTATGATAGCTTTACAAAACTGTTGCTTTTAGGGAATGGAATTATCAGAAAAAAAATGTAAGGCTTATAGTTGAAGATGAGTACTCTAGCCCTTTGGATATCTTCTATCTTAGGGCTATATGCCCTATCCTTTTCATCAACAACCTCATTTTAACGGTGCACATAGGCCCATCACCCTCTCTATTATCATACATATATACCATCAACAACTTCATTATTTCCCTACCTTTTTTCTTAAATTTTGTCCAAATTCATGGTGGGAAGCTTGAATGTGACAATTGCTTGTAAAAATTTGGCTCTTCCGGTGAAGAAAGTTGTTAAATATAGACTATGTTCAGCAACAATTTTAGAGATAAGCATTTATCATTTTGGCTAAAGTTAAAATATTATTTCTATTATTTATATTGTCGGTGATGCAACGTTTATAGAAATATTTAGAGTTTGAGGAAGCTGATTATGAAATGTTATTTTCTTTGAATTAATAAAACGCTAGTTAAATAGCTAGCTAATAGCTACTAGGACAGCTAGTAACTATTAAAATAACTAATTTTACCCAACATACCCATATGCTTAGATTTGATTCGATTCAATTCAATTCCTATATATAAAAAAAAAGATTGTGAATTAGTGAATTGAAGCATGACAAGTATGTGTAGAAGTTCAAAATGAATTAGAAGAGGTAAGATGGACCACAAGAATCATAGGAGATAAGATAAGAGTTATTATGGTCATGTGATTTGAATTTTCTATATCTATATATTACCGATACATATAAACAATGTAAATGCAGACATGGATATGTAAGTTTTGCTTTTGGATTATAATTAACATTAATGTAAGAAGAAGAAGATGAAGTAGACCCACACATCTATCATATCCATGCATGATAATGAAAATACATCACAATATAATAAATAAATTTAGCACCAAATAGGACTACACTTGCTGTTCCACATGCACATGCAGAAGCTATCATCTTCTCTCTATTTATAATCCTTGATAGGATAGATGCATCTAATAAATCAGGGCAATCAAGTTTACGGAATTTATCTTATGGCACTCTTAAATTTGCGGAGACCTATTCTAATTCTATAATTTTACATTTCAGTAATAATTATATCACTCGTTAAAATAAAATATAAAAGTGTAAAGTTACGATTGAACTCTTATAAGTTATTTCATTTTGACGAGGACAGTTATTTCTGAAATGTGAAATTATGGAATCATAATAGGTCCCGTCAATTTAAGGGTGCCCACAAGACAAATTTCATAAATTTTAAGAGCAAATTTATGCTCTAGACCAACAAATTAGAGGGAAAGAATCATGTTCATAATCTATCCATAAAAAAAAAAAAAAAAAGAAACATTATCAGTAATAATTATCAGTCACTCGTTAAAATAAAATATAAAAGTGTAAAGTTACGATTGGAACTCTTTATAAGTTATTCATTTGACGGAGGACAGTTATTTCTGAAGATGTGAAATAAAAATGGAATCATAATAGGTCCCGTCAATTTAAGGGTGCCCACAAACAAATTTCAATAAAATTTTAAAGAAGCAAATTTAATGCTTCTAAGACCAACAAATTAGAGGGAAAGGAATCATGTTCATGAATCTATCCATAAAAAAAAAAAAAAAAACAAAAAAAAAAAAAAAAAACAAACATTATATTCACATGTTCATATTTAATTCTTTAAAAGATATTTTGTAACGATAAAATGACAGAAATTATAAATAGAATTTAAATGCAGTAAAAATACGAGTTCTTAACTTCAATCACTATACTAATGGTTATAAGAAAGGACTATACTTTCTTACATATAAGAATATTGAATCTATGAAATCAAATTGAACCTAAGGACTCCAATGTAATATTTCATATTTGTTTGACATCACATCCTTAACAAGTTGTCCTCCTTTTTTTGGGGGGCCGAGCGATACCTTAATACAAGTAGTACTTTTCTGACATAAAAACCTAACAAATGATAGCGGTTGAAACTAACAAAACCAACGGTTGTAACCATACATGCGTAAATCAAGGCCATCAAATGACTTACCCACTAAACAAAAAGTTGTTTCATTGCACTTTTTAGAAAGGAAATGCGTTAACAAATATTATAAGTGTGCTAGATAAAATTAATTTTGTTGTTTCATGCCGTGTTTATCATTTTAATTAAGTGAAAATACTTATAATTGCTAGAATAATTTGACCGTTAGAATTAATTTTGCCGAATAAATTTAAAAAAAATATATATTATCAAATGTTGTGCCTGAAGCAAATAATTTTGTTTATATTAATAATCTCCGTGACTATGAGAATGCTGCACCTCTAATAATTCATGGAAAAGGGCAAAGAAAAAGAAAAGGTAAGCTGAAGATCCGTACATACTTAAGTACCCCACATTCTCTGACAAAACTATTGTTTTAAGAGTGTCTTTAGATGCCCTTCTGTAGAGTCATACATAGACTTGATTTGATTTGATTTTGACTAAATATCATACTTTGTTTTTCCAGCTAGCCATGCACATATCTTAATTATTATCAACTAAGAATTGACCTATTCCATTCATTCAAACAGAGATTAAGCCATTGTAATTCAGATTATTTTTAGTCTACGGTTTAATAATTCAGTGATCGAGTATCTGCTGCAAGAATTTTACATTTAAATTTTGATAATTTATTTCTTTCAAAAACTGTTGAAATAGTCAATCTTACATTTCACTGTTTAAATATAGACAATTCATTCCCTTTTAAAAAAAATCCAGATGCACTGAGAAGAGAAGAGAGAGAGAGAAAGAAGTAAGTAAGATTAATGAGGGCAAATAACACTTCTGCGTTGCTTAAAAACTTCTCTCACAGTGGTGTTAACAACTCAATCTGTGAGGAAAACCAAACTTTATACAAATCTAGCTAACCCATTAACACTTTTTTTTCTGGGTTCTACGTTAGTAATTAGACTTAAAAAACCCAAGATCAAGGGTTTAAAAGATACAATACATAAAAATTAAAAAATTAAAAAAAAAAACCAAGATCAAGAATCACAGTGAAGAAGACGGTGAAAAAAAGACTGGCCAAAAAGTAGCTAACTATTTTAGAGTAGCTATTTTGGCTTCATCTTATAGCCATCTTTCTCCATGCAAGCAACATCATCACACAATCCTTTAATGTCTCCAATTCTTGTTTATCTTAGTGAAGATGTTAGAGAGCGAAAAACAACTTCTTCACAAGGAATAGTAAGCCCCATTTCATGATCAAAGCCAAACTCTTCTTCAGCTTGTCTAAGTAGGTATTGGAACTCAGGATGAGTTAACAAAGATATAGGAACTATGTATCTACTTCTATTTTCACCAACATAAACTGCAAAATGGCCTTTTGGTACATCAAGAGGAAGACCATCATCATCATATCCATGTTTCTTGCCTAAACTTGAACATCTCTTAAGAATTTGCTTGAGCACTGCTGTTTGAGATAGTTTGTTAGATTTTCTGATAGCCATTTTTTGCTTTTTGGAGGAAAGAAAAGAATGGTTCAGTTGAGAGGGTAGATGAGAGAGTGGAGTGCAGGTGGTGATGGCAGGATAGAAGGGGTAATGGGGCTATTTATGAAGAAAGTTGAGAGAGAGAAAGAGAGAGGTCATGTGGAGATGTGGGGGCAAAGGACAAGCCACGGGTGTTTTGGGGTATGTGTATGTGAGGCAAAGACAAGGTGGGAACCAAACCCATTGGTTGTACACTTCTATGTTGGCCCTCCTAATGACAGTGTGGACCCTCTCTCTATATCACAGCATTAATTTCTCAGTTGAAGATTTTTCTCTTTACCATTTTCTCATCTTTTTACATGGGTGACGTTTAGGACTTGGTCTATTCTGTTTGCTCTAATTTTAGTGTACTTTGGTATGTAATTATGTTTCAGAATGTAATTAATTAAGCTCCATTACTTTATCTTCAAGTTGTTTCTTATTTTATTCATTTTTTGTACATTGCAGACTCTTTATAAGAAAGTGATGTCAGAATTTGAATCTTTGAGGTGTTCAATTTCATTTCAGGTTTTTACCTTATGTCTTGATATAGGATGTGTTTGTGCTTGGTAACAACTTTTTAAAATTTTTAGCGTATTGATTTTTATAGGATTCGATGACATAGCATTTGAATTAATTTTTACAGATTAAAGTAATATTTTATAAAAAGTTAACTTATTTAAGGTCTAGCATTATATAAAAAACTATTCAAACTGCTAACAGCTAAATGCTAATGCCAAATTTTGCCGAACAGAAACCCTAATGCTAAAGGTAAAATTATGTAAGAGTGAATGTCAAATTAATGTAAAATCTCCCTTCTATGTTAAAAAATAATTCATTTCAGGTTTTTCTGTTTTTTTTTTCTCTATATTAGTTCTGAGTTCATACCAACTCCACAATCACTCTGCCATGCATGCAGTTACCAATTTATAGCAAGATCTCAAATATCATTTTTGAGAGTCTCCATCTAATCTTTTGAAGTCATATTACAACACATAGCAAAGTTCAGCTCTTTCTGCCTAGTCTCAGTGTCCATAACCGTATAAAACGTCTTGGTTTCCTATGTCCTTTGTTCGCATAAAGACAACATTAGTGTATTGAGAATAGTGCAGCCTATTCAGTTTCTAACCTTCACTGCATATTTAAAATGTTTTTAGTTCTAAAATTAATCTCTCTCACTCTGTCCTAATATACCTGAAATCACGGGCCAAAAACTAAAGTGTACTGAAGAGTACAACACTATTGAGGTTTGGTTTTTTGTTATTGTTGTGGCTTGTGATTCTGTGACTAATTGACACATAAAAACAACAGTTCTTACACAGTCCATCCAAATATTTCGCAAACCCATGTGTATGTTACTGCCATTGCAGGTCTTGACCTATACAACTTTACCCTCTTGACATTGTCAAATTTACTGATAAGATACTTAGGCCTAACCCTAAAAAACCTACCCTTTACACATATACACCTATAGTTTTTTCTTTTCTTTTTTAATGTCTTACAAAATTGTTAGTATCAGAAATTACATTTGTCGACTAATTTACTCTCAGGTATTCTACTTCAAGTCACATATAGTCTAGTTTTTTTTATTCAAGTACCTATACCAAGAAAGCTGCATTTGTCTCTCATATTAGTGTGTAGAGATTGCAGTTAAGACTGCTTTTGGTTTGCAAAGAGACAAGCCAATGCCAGATGAAGTATGGATGGTCTCATATGTCTTCATATCTTAAAATAAGGAAACCTTAATTTTTAAGGTAGTCAACTCAACTGAATTAAACCTTCTTTAATCCAAATACAGTAGGTTCAACAACAAAAATTTAATACTAGCTGTCCTTTCCAAGTTTCAACAATAATTTAATGGCACCTATACATCAAATTGTTTCTACCAAATATAAAAATGAAACAACCATTCCTATTTGTTCCATCTAATCATCCAATGGTACTTAGAACTTGGAAGAGCATTATGAGCTTAATTAAACTTACTATTCGCTTGTTAATCGCTTATATGCTCTTTCTAATGACAACTATGAACACAGCTTCAGGGAATGGAGATTAGATAAGCTAAAGTACGGTGTACTTTTAAATGACTTAACTAAGCTAAGAAGTTATAGATGTTTTTTTGTTAAATTTGAAATCCTTATTTATCTAATTATCAAGTAGAGCAGTGTTAGCTACCAAAGAAAAAGGGTATCAACAGAAGAGGTTACCCTATGTGGTCCAGCTCAAATCACCACCATCAAAATAGAAGAGCAAAGTTATGTCAGACATAAATATGTCTAGAATGTGCACCACTGAAATCTTTCGAGCCTGCTTCCATTTCAAACAAGTTAGATAGGCTCAGAAAGTGATCTGCAACAACTAGATTCAATGCATGATAGGGAAATTCTCAGCAGTGCTGACTTCTCCTCTCGTTTTTCTCGAAGCATAGACGTATACATACCCTCAGGGTACTGTCCGTTATTAAGTGTAAGAAATAACGTCTGGAAATAATTTTAAGTTGTAACTCTAAATTAGCCGAGTTAAAATTTATCTATTCCTCAAATCCATGTTGAGAACGATCCAACTCTTGAAGGGTTTATTAACTCTAATTTTATTGATAATAGCTTCTCATACCTTTATGTATATATCAACATACATGCATGCATACAACTGTCACAGTGAGATAAAATTTTTTTCACAGCTAAATCCAAAAATAAAAGAAATTACCCAATAGGTCACCGTCTTTGAGAGAAACTCTTTCATGTTCTGTGAATGAGATTTCTCAGAAGAACGGACAATAAAAATTGGAGACTGGAGAGGCCCACCAAACACGCCGATATACGGTACCCCGCTGAGAGAGAGCAAGGCATTTTCTTTATAGTTGATAATGACTCTGCCTATTGTTCAGCACATGAAGGCCATGTTACTCTTGCCCCCAAAACTCCCTGTAAAGACAACGGAGTACGATCTTGTAAGATCAATTGAACTATTTGAAATGGCTAATTTTACTTGCCAAGTCTTTGTAATTTTCCATTAGTTAATTTGTCCATTCTGCTAGAGATAGCTAGAAAGTCATAATTGAAGCCATGGTACTATAAACAACCATGTGATATAGCACCATCCGTTTCTTTACATATTATGGGTATAAACAAGAACAGCTCATGTGGAAAAAACTTCACCTATGTCATCAGCGTCATGATTTTATATATGTACACTCTAACACTCAGGTAACAGATGGGGATGCCCTAGAAATGTAAACAAGCAAAAACTAAGCACACTCACATGGGTTGTAAGGGCAGTGCTAACAAGGGTCCTAGAACGCAGAGTGGCATGCAATATCGAACTTTGATCAAGCATAATTGTTGAATGGGATTTCCTCTAATACGAACATGTTAGACAACATAGAAATAGTACCTTTATGAATGAAGGACACCACTCCTAATATGGCATGGCCAACTAAAAAGACAATTAAGCAAACATTAATAATTAGATTAGGATCTTGACCACAAAAAGCCTAGCCTAGATAGAGATGGACTTGAGCCAGTTGTGAGAACAGAATATTAGTCAGCTGGACCTACTTCAAAAGAAAAAAATTAAGACAATTTATAAGAATTAAGGATAGGATTGTACCTGGGATGTGCGAAATCAAGATGAGAGTGACACAGGAATTGAAATGACCAAGACAACACGAGCAGGTCCCATCCAAATGCCAGAATAGTTGAACCTATTTCTATTTACCATCTAGAAAGAGAGTCACAAAGGAAAGGACTGATACAAGTACTTAAGAAGGACCCTCATCTTTATTTGCATATAATTCACTGGAGGCAGACTTCAATATAAGCACATGAACTCTGCAAGAATGTTTTAACCAAAGAAATCTGGAAGCTAAATTCAACTAAGGTGATTGATATGTTCAGGACAGCAATACGCATGCTAAACATTGCAAAGGTTAGAAGTGATACAAGAGTTACTGGAATCTCAAACTATATTTCAATGCCACATAGTCAAAATATTTTGATAAATGACATTCATGAATGGGAATGTGCATAACTTTTATGCCCCTAACATTGCCGAATATTTCTTGAAACACATCAATACTCTTGAAACACATCAATACTGAGAAGTAAAGAGCATGTAATTTTTATTTCTTTTCATCCGCCTCCTCTTCCAACTTTTGTTTTTGTTTAGCTAACTTTAAAAGGTAGCATATCAATTGCAATGCAAGCATATCAAATGCGCTCTTGAAAGTCCATACTTTCAGATGCAGACAGTTGAGTAATATTCATATTTACTTCTAAAGAATCAAATTATACATTTTCCTTTTGTTTATTAGTACAGAGATACATTTTCATTTGTAAGGACTGAATAGGAAGTTAAGGGGAGAATAAAAAAGAAGATGAGAAGAGGCAAAGTGAAAGAATCTCCCAACAGTTGAGAAGATAAATATTATTGTTACATCCTATGCCATCATGTGCAGCTGCTGCTCCAAAAACAATGTGAAGTAGAAATCTCAAGAAATTCACAAGTGTTAATGTATAGTCAGTGGTCAGAGGGAGATTTCATCTGTTGATGCTGCCCATCTATCAAGCTTATCTGTCTTCTGAGTTTTGCAATATGAGCTTGCACCTATTCAATACAAAGAATCTAAATTGTCAAATTATTTCATTTAACAGGCTTGAGCAAATTGAGAAACAATGCTTCTAATGCAAAAAGGATAAATAGAATCAGCAGGATTTTTATCTCCATAATCATCGGACTTATTTATCAAATCCAAAAATGTTCCCACAGACCATGGTTCATTTCATTTTAATATAAGTAAAAAAGAAATTGAAGATACAAAATCAAATGGGAAATATATACGAGTGACCAATACCAGAAGTAGTTTCCCATTTCCAGAAATAAGGTACTGATTGTCTAAGTAACTATTGCCAATACATAAAAGACTGCAGATACACGACATGAAACATCTTTTTCTGCTTATTCATTAAAAAGCTTAGAAAATTATTAGAAGTTTATCATGGCTTCATTGAGAAAGCATACAGCGAAACCACTGTCCTCGAGTATATCAAATTTTCACAACCCATTCTGTAAAATAGATCTTGAAGAGATGCAACTAAACTCAACTAGTTGTCCTAGGTCTGGTCCTTCCATAGACCCTCGTCCGCCATTTCACCTAGTTTAGATTATATCTTTAGAAAGATATGGGTTGTAAATATTTTTCACTACTTCCTACAAAGTTGTCCTAGGTCTGGTCCTTCCATTTTTTTTTTTTTTTATCCTGCAGCTTCAATACGTTGAAGTTGTTGGCCTATGATGCACATATCCAGCCCATCTGAATCTCCCTTTTCTGAATTTTTCTGTGAATACCTTAACTTTTTATCTGGTCCATCCTTAAATTTTCACATATCATTCTTAGCATCCTCATTTCTTCTCTGTTAACATAGTCATATTGTTCCTTTACTGCCTAATACTCGTTGACATATGACATGGTAGAATTGCAGTCCTGTAATATTGACAGTGCCACATAAGACTCTTGTTCCGTTTATCCACTTCAACCAACAGCATCAATCTTATGGTTGACATCCTCAATTCTCCCAAAACTTTGTATAATAAAGAAGTGACATTTCAGCAATTTCAAGTAATGCTATATGACAGATCAACTAACATGATAACAACATAAAGTGCCTTCATAGCAAACAAGGTAAAAGTACAACTACAACCTAGAGGTGTCCAATTCTATTCCCAAGCATGTCAACGATTTAGTTTTTGAGATCTAATGTTATTTCAGTTGCAATCTAATGGCCTCACACCATACCGGCCATTATGAATGACAAATACATCTTACCATTAACTTAACTTTTGAAAAGCAAGGTTCTGTTTCAATAATTGACAATTATCCACATCCATCAAACAACTGGATGGATATTTCATAAACCGAAATGGAAGAAAATATATTATAATCAAATGCATTTCTAGTTCGATCATTAAACCAATTCATTTAATTATATCACATTACATTCTCTATCACAGTGTATGTTTTTGTTAAATTTTTTAATCATATTGACCTCAGATGGTTTTTTCTATATTTTTCAAGAAGTTACATTTCTGAAATACCTTCAAATTTTGATGAAACATAACAAAGGATGGTGCTTTTATGGTTCTATCTACGAACAATTTCACTACTTGGATTCAGTAAAAAATAAAGTCAAGCATTCCAAGTCATTATATGCAATGAGATGGTAGAGAGCAAGTGCATAAATAATTACGTTCCATGCTTTTGATGCTGAAATGAGATTAGGAGGTGGATTCATGTTGTGCCGGAAATGGAGTGGATGTACATAACCTACTTCCATCTCAGCTATATATATATATATATCATGTCAGAACAACTAAAGACACAAACGAAAATAGGAAAGACTACTCGTCAATTTTCTATCACATGATGATGCAGCTATACATCCAAATGATTCTTTGTAACCTTCATTCACTCCAGGCTAATCCATTATTAAACACAAAGGGACAAAGAAGTGATAGGTCAAAAGGTTTCAACTTTGAACAATATCATAAGAGTTACAAAAGATTAGCAAACAATTTCAGCTGAAACACTGGAGGGAATTGATATATGTCAGACGCATGGTTTCTTTAATAAAATGGAGATTTTTTTCAAGTCCTCATTTTACTCTATCTTTCTCTCAAACGCACATATATATGCTCTTGCACACCCCTGCGCAGAAATAAAGTTCAATACATCCTTGCTGGAAGAAGACTCAATTCTTGCATAACATAAATCAGATAAAACATCATTTAACTCATCAACAGTAAATATTGGTTTCTGTCATCCATGATCACTACAGAAGTTACAGTGGCATAGCCTTTACATGTTGGGCAATGATTCTCAGTTTCAAAGATCATAAAAAAAATATATGATTAATGAATAATTTTCAACCCCTATTTGAAAATGTTTTGGGTGCAAAGACATTGCAACATCAACGTGATGCCATTAATTGATAGAACTGAGAATTCTCAGCATGTGATGTTGTCAAAGATCAGGTAACATGGTGAACAATGATATGACAGAGCAGGACTAAAGGAGAATCAAGTTGCATTTTAGACTAGAAGAACAAGAATAAATAGAGAAAGAAGTATAATGGAGAAAGTAGATCGTAAATGTCTAAATGAAATCTATTGGTTTTTAGGGGGTCCAACATATAACTATACTTGAAAAGCACATGCTAGAATTCATGTGAGATTAAGACATAACAAACAAATGGGTCCATCTTTTGGAGAAAGATGGTCGGACCCCCTACCTTCTGCAACAAAAATAGTTAGACAATTTCTGCATCAAAATGTGACACTCCAGCTTTTTGTCTCCATCAAATTGAAGAACTGTTCGACTATGTTTTCTAGGAAGATGTTTTACTAAGATACAGAAAATAAAAAGAGAATTCAAACACAAGAAAAAACTATGAACTGATGATGAAGGATAACTGTTCATCAACAAAGATTTCTTCCCATTATGGAGTTTTCCCTTTGGTCATTCATACAGGCTGATTGTTTATTCATGTGTTTTGTCAGTAATGATTAATGATTATATTCATGGTTGAGTAAAGTTCATGTTTTAACTAAAGATAGTGAGGCGGAGTGAAAAATAGCATTCTATAGTTGTTAGTTGTTACCATTTCTCATTTTCTTTATCATTGAAAGTTAGAATATAATTAACTTGTGCTTCCTGGCACAACTTGCCACACAACATTTCCCAGTTTACATTGAAAAACACCTCCAGAACAGAATCATATTCAAAGAGAAGAAGTGGTGATACAAACACACGAACCCTAATTGCACAAGAGGATATTCTACTCCCAAGTGGGCCTATTATAAGGGCAAGGACTAAGAAAGTCAAGGAAGCATTTGATGGATTGGTCAAGAAGACATTTGGGCCTAATGATGAAGCGCCAAATAACGAGATGGGCCTGATCCAAGGCTAGTTCACATGATCCAAATATGTGGACCTTCCAAGGCTAGTTCACATGATCCAAATATGTGGACCTTATGCCTTATATTTAGCTTATGTTTAAATTAGCATAATTGGCCTATTTCAATTGGGCTTTATGTTTTAATTAGTTTTAGGATTTCCTACATATAAATACCTAGCTTTCAAGCATTATAGAGACAGATTTTAGTTTATGCGTTTTGTTTCAAGAGAGACTAATTCTCTTTGGTTCTTCATTGAACTTGTTTTCGAACTTATCAAAGAAAATTAATCTTTATGGCATTCATCTTTTTATCTTGATATCTTTGGTTCATACTTCTAGTTGAGTATTGGGTCAAGATCCGTAATTCCACCCAAGAACAAATACTTCTAGTTGAGTATTGGGTCAAGATCCGTAATTCCACCCAAGAACAAATTCTTAATTTGGGAATTAGGGTTCCTAATTTGGGATTTAGGGTTTATATATCAAATCTGATTTAGGGTGTCAAGACACAATTCTTGAGGTTCCGCATCAAGTGGGCATTGACCCATATTAACCACTAAAAGAGAGTACAACAACAACAACAACTAAGCCTTAGTCCCAAACTAGTTGGGGTCAGCCATACAAATCCCTTGTTGCCAATATCTGCTTTGATCAAATTAATACTAATGCAAGCAAAGTATAAATGAACCACTAAGAGAAGAGTACGAAAGAAAAAAAAAAAATAAATAAGAAGAAGAAGCTTCTATATTAAGTCCATAAAGAAGTATTTGACTTCAAGCCTCTATAATTTATAATGTTCATAAAGGGATACCTATAAGGAGATTTTTCAGGAATAAAATGAACACTGGAAGGTAGAAGCAGAAAACTTTCATTTATAAAGAAGAAAATGCCTTCGGAATAGAAATAAATTCAAAGAGAAGAGATGGCATTGACCCCTATAAACCACTTAGAAAAGAAACAGTAGAGAAAACTTTTGTACCAAGTGCATAAATAACTGAGAGAAAATGCCAAAGGCTCTATAATCCATCATGTAAAATAAAAAAAAAAGGAGAATTTCTCTAGAATGATTTTGTTGGAAAAAATGAAATCTGGAAACAAGGAGGGGACAGGAAGAAAGCAGTCTGAGGTAGAGGTTTGAGAAAAGACATATAATATAGATGAATAAATTCAAAGAGAATAGATGGCATTGACCCCTATAAACCACTTAGAAAAGAAACAGTAGAGAAAACTTTTGTATCAAGTGCATAAATAAGTAACTGAGAGAAAATGCCAAAGGCTCTATAATCCATCATGTAAAATAAAAAAAAGGAGAATTTCTCTAGAATGATTTTGTCAGAAAAAATGTAATCTGGAAACAAGGAGGGACAGGCAGAAAGCAGTCTGATGTAGAGGTTTGAAAAAGAATCCAGAAAAGACATATATAATCTAGATGAATAAGGATGGTGAGAAACCAAGAGGCAAGAGCAATAACATTGTAGACAAAAATAAATGCATGAGAACATGACAACGCAATTACAGAAACTTTGATGAATATCTAATATTTTTACACAGTGGAATAAATAGTAATGAAAAGAAAAGATGGACTTGTTTCTGACCTGCTGGCGAGCTGCTGCAAGTTGTAAGAGCTCATCTGCTTCAGAGAAGTTCATAAACCACTGGCTTAGAGGATGATCTTTAGTGTCACCTCTCTTCCTTTTACTCGCATCCTCAACTGGTACTATAAAAACACAAAAAGATAAAAAGAAAAAAAGATAATTGTTGTAACTATGGGGGGAAAAAGAAATGCCTTGCAAAAATGCATATTGAAAGGCATACCAGGGGGAGGCAAAGTAAAACCAGCAGGTAATCTGGGTAAGGTTACGGCAGGATGACTCTGCACACGAGCGAAGAAACCTTCCGAAGGCTCAGGGAACACAATCTCATCATATGATTCCACAACAACAGGCTTCTTGGTAGACATAGGACCAGATTCATCCTCCGGATACAACTTCAAATGATGATATCTGTGCATAATTTAAACCTTAAATAGGCCAATCTTGAAGTTTGTTAAAATTTAACTTTTTGATACATGAACTATAGTGGCCAATCCATTGCTTGGTGCACAGAAAAAGACTTAATTTTGCAGCCTTAAAGATGCAGGTTTGTGTTCTAAGAGCAGATACTTTATGTAAAAGTAGCACCTGAGACTGTCTCCAGTTCTCCCTTATGGGACTCCAGTTTAATGGAACCACAAATCTTGTGTGTGTATGAAAGAAGAAAAACAAATTGGAGGTGAAGATATCTTCCTCTTAAGAAATTAAGAAATCTAACTGAAATAAATAAAAAAAATGATATGCAATGCCCTCCAATCACATAGAATACCAGCACAATGGGCTCTTTCAAATCTCACTAAAGCTGAATCCATCACAAAAACAAGAAAAACTACATTGCCAAATAACAACTGCAATGATAAACTTTGATCCTTATAGAGATTTGAGCATTTCTCTCTTGTCAGTTACTCTAAATAACAAAAAATACCAGTAAATTAGAAGCTTTGACACTCTTTTTTTTTAACTGTTGGAATTAAATACCAGTAAATGGTCCGACCCTTCCCTGGACCCTGCACAAAGCAGGAGCTTCATGCACCGGGCTGCCCTTTTTTCTTTTGTTGGAATTAATTTTCAGAAAATTTTCTAGCATATCCATGAATACCTAATTGTACTAAGACATATAAATGGTCCATTCCAAACATATTAAAAAGTCATACGACTAAGAAGAAGATGAGAATGAAATTTACTTTTATAATTCATGAAGCATATGTTTTATTATAGTATCTGGTTACATTGTTGCACGTCCCATGGATCCTTGGTAGTAATTTTCGGGAGAATTTAAAGGTTTTTACTCCAGGAAAGATGTTAGAAGAACATAGAAGAATTGGAGAGGTTTAAGTGACAAGAAAGGATCCATAACACCTTATATTTAGGTTCCCGGAGGAAAAAATCTAAGACACAGAATATGAAAAGCAAAAATAAGTATTTCCTTCCAAAAAAAAAAAAAACAAATCCCAAAAAGCAAATATAGAGATCTGCTGATAGGACTTTCAAAGTTCATTAAACCAAGGGGACTTGACTATTAAGGCTTGACATAATCAGAACAGGTGGTAGCAAGATGGAATAATCTGACCAAAGCTCTCTTCATCCTACGACTGTTAAAGTTCTTGAAATTTTCACTCTGATTCATGGGACTAAGCCACCATTGTCTGAAAAGAGAATCTCTCTTCTTCTTGCTCCTTTCATTCTCTTTTGTTTGGCCCTTATTGATATATATGTAGTGCAAAGGACTTTTCTATGTGATTCATATAAACTGGTACACCATTTATCAGTAGTTTCGAGTATTGTCCTAAAATCTTTTTCGACTTATTTTTTTCAGTCTGTTTTCCTTCTGGGTATACATTCTTCTTTTTTACCCATCTCCAACTTCATACTTTACTTATGGGAGAAAGGAATGGAATGGCATGGGATACCTTCAAAATAAACAACCAAAGGCATGCAAGAGTAACATTAGGAGACAGCAAGCCTATAACTTAATCAAAAAGCATGTGGTCTGAGGGAGTTACATGAGCACTTCCAACAATGTCGTTAGACACAAAATTTTCAAGACTATCCCTTTGGGTTTGAATACCAAATTGCAGGTCAGAACATGACTCCCTTTTTTCTTCTTTCACACCATATCTCTGGTTGATTTTCCAATATTACCAATAACTCCTAGAGGATTTTAATAAAAGAAAGAAGCCGAACTAAGTGCGCAAGCTTGAACAAGAGTGGCGTTTTTCACCAAGAGAAAACAAAAATTAAAGGTATGCGACTAAATATGCATGCTGGAAAGCAAATTATAGGACAAATTGCAAATTCAAGCATTCTTGTCCGCCATACACCACAAGGTTACAAAGAAAACACAATTCAAGGACACTGGCATCTTTTCCACATCAAATACTCTAGATTCCGTACCAACAAAAGTTTTTGAAAGTTCTAGATATACTCGATGTTCCATAAAAACACTTACACGTGATTCCAAATAGTCTAAGCCACCTTACAATGAAAAAACAAAAAAAAAAAAAAATTGAGAACAATACTCACTATAGCACAACACATAAGACATCAATAAGAATATGAGGTGTTATTAGGCTTTCTTTGTCTAGAATGCATTTTCAGTATTCACCTTTCAGAGAATAGCAAATAGAAAAAAAAAAAAAAAAAAAAAAAAAAAAAATATTTAGGCTCTTTCTTTGTCTAGAATGCAGATTTTCCCGTATTCACCTTTCAGAGAATAGCAATAGAAAAAAAAAAAAAAAAAAAAAAAAAAAAAAAAAAAAAAACCCTTACCTTCACTAACACTTTAGCTTTCAAATTCTGGTTGAGTGAAAAGAATAATCATCAGTGGAAAGAATATTCATCAAAGGGAGATACAGGGTGAGAATACATAGATTTGCATGAAACGTTTCAAGAAGAATCTGAAGCACAAGTCCCTTATTGACCCTGCCCTAGGGAGTAAATAAACAGATTCTAATAAAGCAAGTGGTGAAGATAATTTATCATCGCCCCTTCATTGAGATTTATATGCTTTTTAGGATCAGGTGTTATAAAAGAGGAATTCATACATCTTTTATACAATGTTCAAGAAATCATACAAAAAATTCATTCGTTGACAATGTTCCAAGATTCCTCAGTGCTTTAAAGAAGTGATTACATGCCTTGTCCTTGTCCTCTTCCAAAACAGCTCCTATTTCCTCTTCCTCCTGAAAGGCCTTTATAACTACCAACAATCATCCTTAAAGGTAAGGCATCAATCCATTCAACCACGATGGATCCAGAATTCATTTCCTCACTCGATCGCGCTCTCAATAAGATAATGGTTAAAAACATAAAATGATCTTGTCATAAATATTTAAATTAAGTGATCAACTATACCGGTAACTTCCTGCAGAACATTCAACAATGTTATCTATACAAATCCCATATTGAATAATTTTTTGATATTATCTACAGTTTTATCTTATTGTTTTATTTTTTTATTTTCTTTTAGAAGTTTTCTCTAGCCTGCAGTCAATATTTGCAAATCCTAGTTCGGTGCTTCAAGAATACAGAAGAATGACTGAGTACAAAATTATTGGCTGCCTATAATTTCTGTAATATTCCACTAAAATTAATACCGAGTAAAAGGGATGACATATCATATTCATGATGCAGCATATTACATTGACTAGGAGTTACATTATTTATATATTTATATCAATTTTTACATAGATTTCTATTATATGTGGTGCATCTATTGAATGCTTACAAAGAATGATCTATGATTTTCAAAACATACCAACTAAAATAAAACCAAATAATATGCAAAGAAACTCACAAGTTTAATGGTTTATCACAAACATCACTATGGAAATACAGTGTGATGGCAATCTCGAATTCACCCCACCCTGCTTCAGATAATTCAAAAGGTGGTGATTCAACAACTCTTATTGGATTATTGAAACTGGAATGCAGCTGAAAAACAGCTCGCTTTATCACTACGCCAAGATCCTCATTTGTGGCCCCTCGTACATACACAGTCCATTTATGTGACTGATACCTGATTAACAAATCAATTTGTAAATAATAAGAATAAACAGCAAAGGCCTATCTAATTAACAACTAAAAATTTACTCACTCATTTGCCTTTTTGCCAAGCCAGAATGAGATGTTGCCGTAAACTATAGGAATGCTAATCTCAACATCTTTGAGCTTCTTATTCAGAATCTACAACAAAATCATCAAAAATGACATTATATACATGCAAAAAAGTAACGGCAGTTCCCAAGACAAAAACCTCGTGGATACTAGCCATGCAAAAGTTGTAATCATAATAATGATTAAAGGAAATCAGCAATTGCTAAAATTTGATAAGAAATAAAAAATTACCTTAAACTACACAAAATTCGTGAAAATCACAGGATTAGATTTAAAACTTGTAAAGAGAAATAAAAACCAAAAGCTCTGGAAAGCAGCATTAATAGTAACTTCAGCAAATACGAAAATAAGTATACATCCAAATGACAACAGAAACAAACTTTAACTTGGAGCTATAGCAAAAGTCCCACTAACAGCAAAAAAGCAAAACTTAAAAACAGAGTCTGCTGTGTTTCAAACATTGTATTGAAGACCAAAGTTAGTAATACCATTTTTTTATGGTGATTCAAGAACTCGGTAAATATGCAAATGAAAATTAAACCCAATTTAAAATTCATGATCTACTAAAGTCCTATTATAAACCGATAAAGGAAACTCGAAACAGAGCCTTTGCATTGAGACTAATGAAAATTACTTCCAAGAAACAGTCTTTTGCTTGTGGAGATTTTTATTTTTGGCGATTTAAGAGATGGGTTATCGTTAAATTTGAAACTGAAATTGGGAACTATTAGTTACCTTCTTTTCAGTGTCCTCAGTTTTGCTCATTTTGGTCCTCTGGGATTTGGATGTGGTCCCACTTAATTCAGGTTGATCTTGACCGTTTCTTTTCGATGATGAAATATTTGTCATGTCCTTTAACACGCTCTCTAGTTAGATTCAAAGAAATTAGGGTTTTCCTCTGCCAAATCACAGTGCGCGGTTTAGGGTTTCAAGATAAAATTATTGCCTACTTCGAGATTGAATGAATGCTTTTCTAGTGCACCAATCACACCAGATGTTAAAGGGGCAAAAGTGAACAAGGAAATTTTTGTGGAATTAAATTACTAAAAAGCCCTTAATTTAAGGTCGTGGCATTTAAGTCCTTAATTTTTGTGGAATAAAATCTTTTACCGTTATTTATAACGACCCTGTTTGGTTTTGCGCCACACTTAAAACCAGCTAACTGACATTTCAAAGTTATAAGCAATAGCTCATTAATTCAAGAACCCTGAATTTGTATATTTAAAACCCTGGTGAGGTGTATTCAAGAAAGCAGGATCATTATAGTGAGATGTTGGATCATGAGTTTAACTGCTTGATGCTCTACTCCTTTTCCTTTCTTTTTTTCTTCTCCTTCCTTGTGAAAGTAAAGGTAAGAGGGTATGAAAAATAATGACCTCATATATTATTTTCGTCTCTCGGTGTAAATTCATAGGTTATGTTGATATATTGTAATCAACTGTATTGTAATCAACTATATAATAGAATGAGAATATATATATATATATAATTCTGAAACAAAAATGAAATTCAAGTTGCTCTTTACATCTAACATTCCTATTTATCTTTTTTACACAATTTTAAATTTTCTTTCATTTTACTATAATTTGATTGGATGTTAATATTAAATAATTATAAAATCATCTTTACATATTATTTATAACAAAACAATATATTGAATTTTAAAATTAAGAGATTATCTTTAAATGCATAAATTTATCCCTTTTTTTCTCTTTATATGTCGATCCACTCCTTTTTTTTCTTGAAATGTCTCTCTTTATGGTCTCCCGTTTTGCTTCTACTACTGTCATGCTTATCATTATCATTTTTCTCTAAATTGGTAATTCTTTTCCTTTTTCATTTTTTTACGTGATTTGATCTTTTTTTTTTTTTTAACATGCTATTGGTTTCTCACTAACAGTAATTAGTTCTTTCTTTATCAATAATAATATCCCCTTTTACTGGAATACCATTTGTTGGTCCTTTACTCTTTTCTTTTATGGTTTTGTTTTCCAGATCACTCGAGATCAATTGTTAATCCCAACTATACATGCATTAAAGGCTTATGGTTACTAAATATTAATTGTTGGTTAGTGAGAATTGAAATATTTACATTTTTATTATATTTTGATTTATAATGTACATTTATATTTTCATGTTTTGTTAGAAATATGTATATTTGTAATCTCAAATTGATTTTGAGAATGGTATTGAATAATATGATTTGGTTCAATATTACATTACATAATATATTATTATATATAAAGCTTTGGCATTTGTGTATGGATTCCAATGAACAACAAAAATTTTCAAACAGTTATAATTTTTTTTCTAAAGTGAAAAAATATTGCTGTAAATGTGCCATATTTACTAGCATTCTTGTGTATGTTATTGATTATATGGTGTGATTGAGAGTTAAATAGAGCCATTTCAAGAGAAAAAGTAGGATACAGTAGCAACAAAATGGAGCATTTTCATTAAATAGGCAAGTTTTCTTCAGAGATGTAATAAAAGTATTTCATCTTTTATGCTTTACTAATTTCATGATATATTAGGAAAACTAAACTTTATTTTCTAGGCAACCAAACAACTGTTAATATTGCCTTTGTAAGCCACATATTATATTTGAATATGAAATACCACTTTTCATTTGAAGCTCCCTAAGAAACTGTTTTAATTTGACTAACTCATAAAAGTATGTTTTAGCTTTTTCCAATGTGTGTATATATATATATATATATTGCTGCACTTGAATTTGTCTATGAATTAGTAAAGCATAATTTATATGCTTCTCACCTTTTTATTTTTTAGTTTTCTATGACTATACTTTATTATTTAATTTAAATTTCCCACCCCTTATTGCTAATTAAAGAGAAAAAAAAATTTGGTGTTCAATTTCAGTTTTTGGCCTATTTCATATTGTTTAACTTAATTTGATTTTTATTTTTTTTATTGTTAAATTAACATATTAAAGCTAAAAAGATTAATGAATATATGCCAAACTAAAGTTTTTTTTTCTAATTATTTTATTTTGTTGTGTTTAATTTTGTCTCAGGTTTAATAAGTAAAGATGAATGATTTAATAACCAAATCAATATTCACAAGCTATATCGACCTAAAGAGGAAAGTAATGAAAGATCTTGAAGTTGGACCTGACCTGTGGATAATGCACAAACATACAACCACCATAATACATCAAAACATACAAACACCATGTGTCTGGATTTCAGTTTATTTCTTAAAAAAGTTGAGCTTATCAGGAAAAAAATAGAACTAATCTGTAAACATATAGAAATCTCGAAAAGGCAATAATTATCAAATTTTAACTATAAGAAATGAACAAGGGCCGATGAAGTTAAAAGGCGCTTATCTGAATTTACAAAAATAATCTCAAATTATAGGATTAAAATTGTAATTACCATTATAATTTATTATTTAATAATAATAATTATTACTTCAACATGCGCAATGTGCGGGCATTCATCTAATTACATTATATGACTAATTACATTATTTGGTTAAATTTTTTTTAACCTTTTAATGTAATTAAAACTATATGGATAATCTTTATTATTTAAATGGATGTAATATTCATTATATATATAAAAAAAATCTATGTAAAGCTCATTATATTCTTCAAAGCACACACCTATTCTCAATCATAATTACCACTCTACCACTCCATCACCACTGCAATCACCACCACCACCGCAATGTCCATTCCATCACCATCACCACTCTAATGACCACTCCATCACCACCACCACTTTACTACCACCACCACCACTCTATTGCCACCTTACACTGTAACCATCGCCACCTGCCACCGTAACCACTACCATCACAACCACCACATCATTATTTTTTTGTATTGTTATAGAAATAGGAAGAATGAAATGAAAAATCACAAAATAAATCAAAATACCATAATTTTATATTGTAATTTAATTTATTTAACGAAGAATATATAAAATTATATAAAAAATTAATTTTCAATGACTTTAACTTTTATTTTGTTGCATTACATTTTTTCAGCTGTTTTTTTCTTTAATTTTCTAGTCCAAATAATTGATAGATTTAAATAGTTTTTAATAGTTTGATATAATGAATAACTTTTAATTCAAATATTTCTTTTTTTTTTTATTCATAATAATGTGGCGGTAGTGATGGTGATAGAGTGGTAGTTGTGGTGGAGGTGAAGTGATGGTGGTGTGCTAAGTATATTATATATTTACAAACAAAAATAAAAATGGATTGTGATTACATTTTATAAATTTTCTCAATTATTTTACCGAACATAGTAATGAAATCGTAATTACATTCCATTATGTTACATTTTTTATTACATTACATTTCATTACATTAAACTAAACATAACCGTAATTTTCTTCTAATACCATCAAAATTAGAATCTCAGTTTTGAAACCCAATGTATCTCCTATGTATCTCATGAATAACAAAGAAGAGTTTCAAATTCTATTAGCTTTATATATTAATGGTAAAGCCAACTCACTTCCTTTTCCTTCTAGCTACTGCTTGAAAATTAGAACAAACTTGTCCCTCTGACAAAAGAGTACATAAAAACCTAATTTGCACTTAAATTTCATCATTTTCAAGTTTCTTACAAAATCAATCTAGCATATTAAATGCTGAATGTAAGTATTTACACAACAACCTTAACTTTTGTGATTTACAGTTTTACCACATTTCCTCTTTCAATCAGAACTGCTGCTTTTGATATTCTGTTTGAGAATAATGGTTAAAGACCTGCAATAGTGATCAAATTCAACTTTAAATTTGTCATAGTCTCTGTGCTATCAATCTGCCGAAGCTGTGAGATGAAAAAATGCATCGGTAGGGGATCTTACCGCCTTAGAGGGGGAAGCACCCGCGACGAAGAGGAAGCGAGAATGGCGCTTTGTTGTTATCAAATCAACAATTGAACCATATGTTATATTTCAAAACTAACAATAATTCAGTTAACTTTTGACCTCAATCCAGCTACATCCGACATCTTTCTTTAATTCTCTATTTTTCATTATTTCCCTAAGCTGGTCAATCTCGTTCCACATACCAAACCTAGCATATAAATTTGATAACATGACATATATCCCTACATTTTGAGGCTCCAACTTAAGTGCCTCTTGAGCAGCCAATTTACCCAACTCGATATTCCCGTGTTCCTCACAAGCACTAAGCAAAGCCCCCCACATAGAAATGCTGAAACTGTCTTGTCCTTTAGTGAGCATCTCACTCACTAGCTTCCAGGCCTTATTTAACTCACCAGCCCTACAAAGTAAATCAACTACACAGCTGTAGTGCTCTGGGCCAGGATTTATTTTAAAGTCTCGAGTCATTGATTCAAAATACTCTATTCCAAGTTGCAGTTGGCCAGTGTGACCACAGGCTGAGATAACTGTAACATATGCCACCCCATCTGGTCTAATCCCTTCTTTTAACATCTCCTCAAACAATCCAATCACCTCTATAAAATGCCCATTTCTACCATAAACACCGATCATTGAAGTCCACAAAACAATATCCCCAATTCTCTTTCTTCCCAGTTGAAATCCTGCCAAATTGAAAACTTGCAGAGCCTTCACTACAAAACCACACTTGCCATACATTTCAATCAATGAACTCTGGAGAAAGACATCATTTACCACATCATAGATTTTACGGGTCAAGTAGGCATGCACTTGCCTGCCAAATTCTACAGCAGCAAGCCCCGCGCACGTGCGCAGCATTGCTGATATAGTAAACTGATCATAATCCAAACTCAAAAAAGGCATCTTTCTTATCAACGTAACTCCTTGATCCCATAATTTAGCTTCAACATACCCTGATAAAAGTGCATTTGCACAAACTGTATTCTTCACGGGAATTTCATCAAACATCATTGCTGCATTATTAACGAACAACAATTTTGCATATAAATCAATCAAAGCACTACCCACAAACACACTAGATAACCAACCTGATTTCATCACGTGGGCATGTATTTGTTCTCCAAAATTCAGATTCTCCAAAGAAGATGAAGCTTTTAAGGAACTGCACAAAGCATAAGTATCCAAAGAAACACTTTCTGAATGCATAAGAGAGCAGGTTTTTACTGCATGTAATGGGAACCCTTTTTTACAAAAATCAGATAGCAGTGGATTGAAGTGTAATGGGCTTTTGGGGTTTAAGAACTTGCAGCAATTAGTTAAGGTTTCAAAGTTGTTCTCGTTGAGGCAATTGGTGTAAGAAAAGATGAGTTTGCTGTGAATATTAGGAGAGATAAAGAGTAAGCCTGTCCTGAGTAGGTGAGCATGGAGCTTCTTGATGGCAATCAAATTTTTAGTTTGACAAGAATGGTCCAAGAATTGAATGAGACAACCATATGATGGGGTGATATGGGAACCGAAATGGTTGAACATGTTCTACGTGTTTGATCTTATGCAACAGTTTGTTAAATTCCTCTGGTATTATAGGTTTGCTCTCGTCATTTACAAATCATGTTTGTTATGTCAGTTGAACAAAGCAGATGATGGAATTCAACAACTATTTCTCCTTCAAATGATGGAATACTTGAATTGAACGTACTGATTAGAAAACACCACAAGCCTCCTCTATGATGTATTTGTGTGTTTGAACTTTGAAATAAATTTTAAAATTGGAAAATTAAAATGATAATTGAAAAGTAGTAACAAGGTATTTTATTTTAATTTTAATAAATATAATTTTATTGTAATCATTTTGAACATTTTTGTTTTTGTTTTTGAAACCTATAATCTAGGGCATTTGACAAAAATAACGTTCTTTAGAAAACTATCTTCCAATCTAATGTCATGTGTACTAAATTAATATAATATGACAAGAATGCTCCTGGCATGTCGCTTGCTAGTTTTGTTTCAGAAACATGTTACTACAGAAAATTCGGAAAGTACATTGGAAAACATTCACAAAGCAGGAAAAGGATGCATGTGACTGAAACCAATATGAAATATAAGGCAACAAGAATGAAATTATGAAGACTAAATTTTAAAATCGATTGAGAGTATAATGGAAGAACAATTTGTTCAAATTTCTATTTTCTAACTTCTCATGTGGATGGACAACAAACATTCAACATCTCACCTAACTCTATAAAAAAATAAGTAGGCAATTTACAAGAACTTTACAAAAATTGATGGTTCTTATTGTGTTCTCTATAATAGATTCAAGCCAGAAATAATGTCAATGAAGATATCTTCTCTGCAAGGAAGTGTCAGACCGCCCATTGGATGATTAAATCCAAATTCTTCCTCAGCTTCTCTTAGCAATTCTTGGAATGAAGGCTGATTCAAGACTGAAATCGGGACTATAAATCGCTTCTTTTGGTTCTCTCCAACATAGACTGCAAAAAAGCCTTTTGGAATTGAATTAGCTTGGTGATCAGCAAGAAAACTTGATCGGCGAAGAATTTGCTTAACACTTTTTGAAAGAATAGCCATTGCTATCTTTTCTTTTCTTGTTTTTGCCTAGTTATTTCTTCAGACAATGCAGATTTTGATTTCAAAACTTGATTTGGTTGTGGCTTTGTGGATTCATGTATATAGTTAGAATGGAAATGTGGAAAATCTAAGAAATGTGAATGAGTGGTGAAGAGGCCTTTGAGTGAGGTTCGGTGGAGACATAAGCAGGTGAAGGATCACATGGCTTTGTCTTCCTGGAATACATAATGTCAAACTAGGGACCATTTGGAAATAAAATTTAGATATGAGAAAAATCAGGTTCATTTAAGTTTGTTTGATCATATTAGGATACAAGACATGCGTAAGACATATAAGCTTGTTATTATTGACTAGATATGTGAAAAATAGAAAGCATTACTGGCATCATCTTATGAACAGTGATAACTAGCATTTATTGCCTTAAGTGTGCAGAAAAAATTGATATATGAAGCACAAAAAAACATTGAAAATTGCTTGACAAGGCCTTGTGAAGAGCCTGCAAGGCAAATGACATTGTCTGTCTATCTTTTTTTTAGACCACCCCATTTCAGAAGTTATTGCAAATAATTGACTATATGATCATTTCCAGCCAACAAATTTGAATATCATTTTTGTATGAATTCTGAGAAAGCAATAATGGTACCATCAAGCTGGTCCCAACATATGATATGGACAAATGTGTTAATAACTCAGTATAGTAAAGAAAAACTAGCCAATGTGAGAAAAGGAAAAATCAGAAGAAATGAAAGTTTTCATTTGGAAACTTGGAGTTTAATTAACATGAAAGAATGAATACCTTGATTCTTTTTCATTTTCTTAAACAAAAATTATATACTTGGAGAATGAAAATTTAATAATTTGGTCATACAAATAAACATCAGGGAAAATCAATTATGTAATAATCTTTCTCATTCTATTGCAAAGAAAGTATTTACAAAGATTTGACCAATTGGCTTTGCAAAATTGTTTTCATTGATTAGACTAATTTGAATTCTCTTATGATTTAGTCAAGCTAGAAATGACATCAATGAAAGTATCTTCTCTGCATGGAATTGTCAAACCCCCCATGGGATGATCAAAACCATATTCCTCCTCTGCTCTACTTAGCAAATCTTGAAATGAAGACTCATTTAGATAAGACACAGGAACTAAAAATCGCTTCTTTTCTGTCTCTCCAATATAAACTGCTAAGAAACCTTTTGGTACATTTGAATACCTTGAAGATGCTTTATTTGCTGAGCCACGCAGAATTTGCTTGGCAAGAACAGCAGACAGATATCTAGCCATTGTGGTTCAGTGGGAAAGAATCAAGAAACAGAAGATGGTTAATTTTATGTGTAAGTAAAGGTTATTAAGTTTTCGATCTGTTGCTTTTGGATTGAATGTGTGGTTATATATATAGATAGATAGATAAAGAAGTGTCCTCTTAACATGTTAATGAGAGGCCAAAATAGTTTGCTGCTGCAATAGAACATAGCCCATGAAGGGCCATGTGGTCTTGCCTTCTAACTAAACAGCAAATATATAATACTTTGTCTATATGTTAGAATGCCAAACTAAATCTATTTGAGTGAACTGAGGTAAAGAAAAAGATTTCCATTGCATATGCTACATGCCAGACTGTCCCTAAGACAATTAGTGGATGTCCTTATATTAGATTTTTGATTAAGGACATGTTTTAGACAACTAGTTCTGTATGTGTTCATATAAAGGAAGAATAAAGAAAGGGACAGGTAAGGTAATGTATAGTTAAAGTTGGAAAACTTGAAAAATAAAAAGAGGGTATGAATTGTTTTTAGTTGAATTCAATATCTATGAGACAATGGATGTGATGGAATGAACTAAAACAGTTGAATATTAAAAGAACAACAGAAACTGAAGAATTTGCACAAACATACTTTTCTTAGATTTTGGTCCTAATTTCAGAAGTTCTATTTTTGTTTGAGGCAATTATTTGAAATGTTGATTCCTCAAATATGTATCAAATTTGCTTTATAGGCTCCAGGGCCTGTTTCAAGAATTAAAGTGATTTCTTGAGGCTGAACAGATTTTCTTTTTTCTCAATCAGAAGCTACCTTAACGTATCCATTTTAAAAAGTCTGTGCAGCAAAAGTATCTACATAATCAGATTATTCCCTTTGAGAATAGCCTTCATCAACCATCCGAGCGTTGTATTTGTTATATAACCATTTAAAGCCTATAGCTTGATTTTTCACAGGCTTTTCATTCAATTTCTCTATTCAGTTATGCCCAATTTTTCCATACTGTTTTTATTCAGAATTATAACCAAGAAAGGTTGCTTTCTGAAGAAAGAATGCTTCTCTATTATTAAGAGTTCTTGTAGGTAGCCTGTTCTGCAGGTAAAGAACTGTATAAATAGCATAAACTAAAATTTCTTGGACATCAAAAAATCTTTTTTGTTTTTCGCTTCCCAAAAGAAACTTCATTTTGCTGTTGCTCAGTCAATTTGTATATTCAATATCAGAATCTTTAAATAACCGATTAAATTGTTCTGAAGTACACCCTTTAGCAATATCTGACCTCAGATTATTAGTGTAATTAATCACTTCTGATTAATCAATTAATCATGTGGTATTAGGACCGTGAAAATTAATTGTCTATTCAGAACAGATTCAAAATGAGAAGTTCAAAAATTAAAAAAAAAAACAGTAAAGACTGCGCAAAAAAAAAAATGCAAACTTATTTGCAATAGCATCTCACAATTGGGAAAATTTGATTCAGTGGAAAACTATGTACATTGTCATGACAAATTCTAGCGATACAAAATTGTTTCTATGAATAGTTCAATTTCCATTTTTCATAATCTACACAAGTTAGCAGTAACATCAATAAAAGTATCTTCACTGCAGGCAATTGTCAAACCACCCATTGGATGATCAAAACCATATTCCTCTTCTGCTCTACTTAGCAAATCAGAAATGAAGGGTGGTTCAAGTAGGATATTGGAACTACATATCTCTTCTTCTCAGCTTCCCCAACATAAACTGCCATGAAACCTTTTGGCACGTCAAAAGATCTTGAAGCAGCTTTCCTTGAAGTTAGTGTAGATGTGCGAAGAACGCTAGGCAATCGAATGGCCATGGGATCTCAGTTGGTCGTTGTATTTGTGCTGAAGAAACAAGAAGCTGGTTTGGCTGTGAGCAAATATGTGGAAATATAAGTATGAAGAAATGAGAAAACACTTTGATGGCTTTGAGACAAGTATGTACTCATAATATATAGAGATGAAATAGAGAGAATGGCCAAGAATCATCTGGCTGGGGACATAACTAATGAGAAAGTATCACATGGCTTTGTCTTGCAGATAATCAGCCTAAGTAGGGAACAGAAAATAGTGTATAATTCTGATTATGTTTATTTGTTGTGAAACAACGTGCCCTACAACTATACAAGTTTATTTTTGGGGTTTAGTCAGAGACATAAACAGCTGAATGATCGTATGGTTATGTCTTCAGGCCTATTATCATGACCTAAGTAGTGATTATTTGTTGGAATACATAATGTCCAAGCAAGGACCACATGAAATTGAAATTTTGATAGAGGGAAAATCAGGATAACTAGTTTAAGCGTTCCATTACTCTATAATGTAAGACATCTGATTAAGCTTGTTACTAGTAGCAAGGAGGGCACAAACAGAAAGCCTTGATAGGACCACAACATGAACACAGATAAAGAACCAGCATTTCTTGCCTTAGCACGTTAATTTGTAAGGCAAACTGATCTGTGGACCACCAAAAGAAAAAATATATATATATAGACAAGACCTTGTGAAGAGGATGTGAAGGAAGAGTCATTCAGCAAAGAATTGACCATGGCAATAATGTTGAATTTATCATCATTTCCAGCCATCAAATCACAATTTGGGTGAACATGCTGTGGGCTTCAATACACACTTCACTTAAAAATGCAAGAAGCAACAAAATAAAGAACGAATACAGTGTTAGAAAAGGAAAATCAGCAGAACATAGAAAAGCATATTTGTACTGAAGTTCAATTACAATGACCATTAGGAATATTTGAGTTTTATTTATCTTCCCAAATGAAGGATTGTGTTGAGTAGAAGCATGCCTCTGAGTTCTTACATTCATTTAAAAAAAATCTATATTAAATTAAACATAAGATAGTTTCCAAGCAAGATATACAATGACTTAAATAAGTAGAAAAAAAGAGAGTGGATGAAGGAAAGAGCAGGCTAATTCCAAATTATATATGCAACGATCTTTCTCATTCTTTTCCAAGTAATATATCTACATTGACTACATATTAATTAGTCATTTATTATATTATCATTAATTGGAATTGTCTATAGGAAATATATAACTTAGTAGTGGGTCATGATATAAATAATGCTTCCATCTCTCTCTTTATCCTTCTAATCAATTGGCAGGCAAAGCAATGTGATTGCTTTTGAAATTTGTCCTTTGGGGGGCACAATATTGCAATTGCATGGCGCTCATCCTATTGAGGCTAAGATCAAGAAAGTTCTTGCCATGTATATATATGTGTCTGAGTTTAACAAGGGTAGCAAGCTTTAGTTAAAGTTCTTTGCCTTCATGAGTTTTAAGAATTCATTCAATCAAACACCTTTGAAAGAATTTGAAAATGGGTATTAGCTTGCCTAGCATAATTAATACCAAGAAAATTGCAAGGATTCTTTTGCCACAAGAAACTACTGATGTGCCTTAAGGCCATTTTGCTCTATATGTTGGAGAAACTCAAAGAAGAGATTTACTGTTACAATTTCATACTCAAAGAATCCTTCCTTTCAGAACTTGTTGATTCAAGTTGAAGAAGAGATTGGGTTTAATCATTCTATGGGACGTCCATAACATGTAGTGAACAAGTTTTTGCTCATCTCATTTTCAGTTTGTAGAGGCCTTTTTAGATAGATGACAATGCTCTAACAAACTAACTTATGTAACAATTTCGTATGGAAAATGAAAGTATATGAAACAATTTTGTATAGAGAAATGAAAGCAAATGCATATTTCATTAAATATGATATCATTAAGAGTTAGTTTGAAAAACTAGTTTCATTTTGAAGCCATTTCTCTGATTTTCTTTTTCCTCTATGAATTATGTTTCTATGTTGGCTATGTGCAAGTTGTAATTGCCACTGCTTGTTAATCATCTTAAAACCCAAAATGATTACTTCTTCAATATTCAGGTCATTTATTACCAAAATTCAAAAGTTTCATTAATTGTTCAACCTGACATAAAATTGAAACATCAAAAATTTAATTTGTTCTTGAGACTGAATGATATTTCTAGATACAAGAAGTTATAATATCTTCTTCCAATCAAAAGTAAGGTAAAAATTGGTTTCTTGCTACTGTTTATATTTTTAATATATAATTTTTGTGCAGTGATACTACTTGGAGAAGATATCTATAGTATACCTATTTAGAGATTATTTCTAGATACAAGAAGTTATAATATCTTCTTCCAATCAAACAGTAAGGTAAAAATTGGTTTCTTGCTAACTGTTTATATTTTTAATATATAATTTTTGTGCAAGTGATTCTCTCTTATAGATGAATTGATATCCATATAGGTATAACCTATCATTAGGACACAACTGCAGGACCTACCCATTAGGCCCTCATCACCCATCAAAAGAATAACATATATATAGTAAGGAGGAACGACTTAGAATCATACTCAGCTTATAATGTCATATCTATATTTCAAGCCGTTGCGGGCTTGAGACATATATGCTTAGTGGTGGGGTCTGATGTTTCAGAAATGAAAAATTGGTAAGTGCCTTTTAATTCTTCTGATAATTAGGTAGAAGACCAAACCATGTGATCCCTCTTAGCATAAAAATAATGCATAGAGAATTCCACTGATTATACCCTTTAATGTTTGTTATTATAGCCTAACATTTAGATTGAAAAGAGCGATCACAAGTTCTTGCAATATTCTTAAGCATCAAAAGTTCTTTTTGCTCTTTAAGCTCTTTATTAATCTTTTCTCTGTTTCATCTACATCAAAAATTATGGGTTTCCGGTTTGCCTGCCTATTATTCGCCCAAAGCAACTTCTTAAAGGATTCGCCTTCTACAGAGCCAAAACAAGTTCAGGAGCCATACGATGTGCCAAAGGGCTACCTTGCAGTCTTATGTTGAGGAAAACCAAATTTGGAAGAGATTTGTAATTCCAGTATCATTTTTCTTTGAATCAACCTTCATTCTCAAGAATACTTAAACCAGCTGAAAGAAGAATTTCGGATTATGATCATCCAATGCGGTGGTTCTTCACTATTCCCTGTTAGCCAAAAGTAGATTTATCGATGTCATATTCTTGGCTTAAAACCATTTATAAATCATGATAGAAGATGGTTCACACAATTTTAAAAGTACAGAGATAGCATAATTCATTACATCTCAAAATGAAATTTTTGTTTTCTCATTATTCTCAGTTCCCTCTAGTATTCTTCATAATCAATGAAATTTTTGTTTCTTCATATTCTCTAGTTCCCTCTAGTATTCTTCAATTTTCTTTTCCATGATTTTCTGTTGTAGGAAAAATCTTTCCTTCATACACTTTTCTGAAAAGGGAAACAAAATTTATCATTCTTAGAAAAATATCATTGATTCCAGTCCTGTTCTGCTTGAAATGGGACCAAGTTTAGACTAAAAGTCAAGTTTAAGAGCAACTTATGTTTGATTCCACCTGATAGATGGATCTGCAGGGAACACTTTCGCTAATCTTTTCATTTGAACTTCAAATTTAGCTTGCTTTTTTAGCTTCAACTTTACTTTGACTGTTCAACAACATAATTTGCCAACAACTGATGGTGTCCTTATCAGAAGGAAAATATAGAATGAATATTATATATATAATAATAAAAATGATGCTGAAATTCATGAGTACTAGGTAAAACCTGATTCAGACACAAATAGGAATGAATTGATTATTAGTATGATTATATTTAACCCTTTGGAACAGAAACCTCCAACACTTTCTTTTTCTTGATTGCATTATTAATCTATTTAAGGCAAACCCAATGGACATCAAATGAAACTTGTTCCATTCGACACTTTTTTTCCTGTTTGAATGCTTGCCGAACAAAAAGGAAAAGGGACAAGAAAACAGCAATTCTCAAACCATTTTTCGTCATGTTACTTATTCTTATTCTTAAAAAAAATTCAATACTTCTCACAATTTGTTTTCATAAAATTTTCCTGTTTGAATGCCCTGTTGAACAGAAATGAAAAGAGACAAGATGATAGCAGAAATTGCAAGTATATGGTACTCATTTTCATTGTAATTAAAAAGAAAGTATCTACATTGACTTGTCTAGTTCTACCATACAAAATTGTTTTTATGATTAGACTAATTTGAATTCTCTCATGATCTAGTCAAGCTAGAAGTGACATCAATAAAAGTATCTTTTCTACAGGGAATTGTCAAGCCGCCCATTGGATGATCAAAACCATATTCCTCTTCTACTTTACTTAGGAAATCTTGAAATGAAGGCTCATTTAGATACGATATTGGAACCAAACATCGCTTCCTCTCTGTCTCTCCAATGTAAACTGCTAAGAAACCTTTCGGCAAATCCGGAGAGCTTGAGGATGCATTATTTGTAGACCGGCGCAGAATTTGTTTAGCAAGAACAGAAGATAGATATCTAGCCATTGGTAGGAAAAAATAAAGAAAAAAAGGATATTGTTCTTTGTAAGTGAATACTGAATTGTATTGCTAGTGAATACGCTGATATATGTTTGCTGTGACTTGTGGCTTCAACATATAGATATATATAGATGAATAACTTATAGAGGGAGTGGCCTAAAGTCATTCTCTCTTATCTGCTGAGGACATAGCTCATAAAGGGTCATGTGGTCTTGCCTTCTAATTAATTACTAGCATTTATCAGTCACCCGTATTCATAAATTTCATACTTTGTCTACCTGTTAGAATGCTAGAATACCTTAATCAGTCACACTTGTTTAATTTCATAAATTTGCCTTCTAATTAATTACTAGCATTTATCAGTCACCCGTATTCATAAATTTCATACTTTGTCTACCTGTTAGAATGCTAGAATACCCCACAACCACATATATAAGCAAATTGCATTATAGCAAAGATTTGAAATGGGTTCTTAATGCCAGCATATACATGCCGGATTGACCCTTTGATTAACAGCACAATTGAGACAATTGGTCAAGTGAAATATATATTAAGAACCGCTGGTTCAATCCATTAATTGCTTTTAAATGGTCCCTCATGGTCATTGGTTATGATGTCCATCAATACACACAATATGAAGGGTATGTATTTTCTGGCCCCTAGTTGAGTGGTTAGAAGATAACACCATGTGATACTCTTATGAGCTATGACCCTAATAGCAAACACAAGCAAATGGGTCAAGCCAAACACTCATCTATATATTCTACCTGCTAGCTTATCACAAACAACTCAAAAATTGATATACCAAAAAAAAAAAAAAAAAGAATTAAAAAAAAAAAAAATCCAGTTACTTTTTGCTATTATTTTTCGTCCCAAGCATACAATTGTGGCATTCATATTATTCCTGGTGTATAAAAAAAAAAAAAAAAATCCAGTTACTTTTTGCTATTATTTTCCCCAAGAAATATACAATGGGCATTCATTTACCTGGTGTTCTTGCTAAGAAACTTTTTCACCAAGCTTCTGGTAAATCATCTTCTTTTGATATTCCGAAAGGCTTCGTAGCAATTTATGTTGGAGAAGCACAAAGGAAGAGATTTCTGGTTCCCTTATCATACTTGAATCATCCTGCATTTCAAGATTTGCTTAGCATAGCTGAAGAAGTGTTCGATTTTGATCATACAATGGGTGGTTTGACAATTCCCTGCACAGAAGATACTTTTGATGCTGTCATTTCTAATTTGAGTGCATCATAAGAAATCATACTCAAAGTAACTACAAAATAACAATTTCGTAGGGCAGAAACTGATTAATTTAATGTAAATATGAGTTGTAAAGGATTAAAAAATTTTGTGTGATGAGAAAAACTATTTGCTACAAAATTTGGCTTTCTTTTGCATAGCCGGTGCTCTATAACTTTGATTGTTCCTGTCTTTTATCATAAGTAATTCTTGATTGTGAATTCCAAATGTACATTGTTTTTCTTTTAAGGCACAGAAAGAAAAGAGATGTTAATATACAAAAATCATATTGTGTTTCTTCATACATTTCCAATCAATTTCATTTGAAGAGAAATTTTGAAGATAATTGTGGTTATTCACTTGCAAAAGTAAATGGAAAGGCCAATCCTATTTATGAGGTGCTTAAATCAGTCGCCAAGGTACTCAAGTATGGATGCAAAGCCATTTTCTCATAGTTGCATCAGGTTCTTAGTAATTATGAGTCTAACCATTCAATGAATTTTAGTTGTTTCTTAACTAAAACTAATGTTCATTTGCTTCCTATTTCCCTAACTCAAAATTAACTAGTACATTTTGTTTATGCATGCTCTTCATTGAGTTGTTTCTGCTATCCAATTTCAGCAGAGCAACTCAATAAGAAGTCCTCATGACCTGGAATTTTCATAATGTAATTGCAAAAGCAATTCTGCATAACAATATATGCATACTTAGACATGCTAAAGCTTTAATAAACTATGTACTTACTATTTGACATAGAGTTTGTTGCATGATATGGAAATAAAGCCAAGTGTTAGCAGTAGTGACACTTGTGAAACTGCCAAGGATGCTACCAAAACAACAAAATGCAGGTTCTGAAATTAAGATGGTAGTTTGAGATGCTAAGATTGAAAAACGCTGAAACTGTCATGGATTATTCAAATCGATTAACAAACATTATAAATCAAGACAGATATTGAAATTAATCTATAGTTTCAGTGACTTTTGGTATAATTATTATTTAAACTTTTTGGAACAAAAACCTCATATGTTTTCTGTTTCTTGATTGCATGATTAATCTATTCAAGGCACACCCAATGCAGCTAAATCGATACTTGTCTCTGTTGCAAAAAAAAGAAAAGGGCTAGAAAATAGCAAGAAATTGCAAATTATATACTAATATTTCTCATTTCACTAAAAGAATGTATCTTCATTGGCTTGTAGATTTATACCACACAAAATTGTTTTATGTGATTAGACTAATTTGAATTCTCTTATAATCTCATCAAGCTAGAAGTGACATAAATAAAAGTGTCTTCTCTGCAGGGAATTGTCAAACCACCCATTGGATGATCAAAACCATATTCCTCTTCTGCTCTGCTTAGCAAATCTTGAAATGAAGGGTGGTTCAAGTAGGATATTGGAACTACATATCTCTTCTTCTCAGTTTCCCCAACATAAACAGCTATGAAACCTTTAGGCACCTCAAAAAGATACCTTGAGGCAGCTTTCTTTGAAGCTAGAGTAGGTGTGCGAAGAATGCTTGGCAAACGAATGGCCATGGGTCTCGGTTGATTATGTACTTGTGTAGAAGAAACAACAAGATGGTTTGGCTGCCTGTGAGCTAATATATGTGGAAATATAAGTATAGAGAAATGAGAAAATACTTTGATGGCTTTGAGACAACTATGTGGTCATTATATATATAGATGAAATGGAGTGAGTGGCCAAGAATCATTTGGCTGGTAACATAACTAATGAGAAAGTATCACATGGCTTTGTCTTGCAGATAATCAGCCTAAGTAGCGAACAGAAAATAGTGTATCATTCATATTATGTCTATTTGTTGAGAAATAACATGCCCTACAACAACAAAAATAATCCTGTGGACAGGCTAAAGAAAATAAAGGGACTCTTAGATTGGATATCAATCTTGATACTGATAGATAAGTAAGTCACCCTTGGATTAAGTGCATGCTTGAGACAATGAGATAACGTTCTTGAATTCATGGATTAGGGACATACTTGAGACAAAAAAATAAGATGGGATACGTTCAAATGGAAGATAAATAAATGAGGGATAAATATAGGTATAGAATTCAATCGCAAAAAAAAAAAAAAAATCAATTGTGAATAAATCAGAACAGAACATATTAACATCTTTGTAAGTTTAGCTTCGGATGAGATTTTTTTTTTTTTTTTTTTTGTTAAATGAGAAAGTTAATCACTGCACTCCATACAATGGTGATCAAGAACAAAAATAATCCTGTGGCAGGCTAAAGAAAATAAAGGGATCTCCTTTAGTTATTTGGAATCCTATATCGAATGATTTTGTATACCTGAATCTCCTTAGACAAATATAGTTTGAAGAATTGGTCACCGGCGTGAGCAAATTAAGTCCCAATTCTACTAAGTTCTTCATGTCGAGACACATTGAAGCATATAAATCCCTGCATTTAAATAGCTCCGGGTTGACCGCCAAGAATCAACCCTAGTTGGACTAATCATTTATGGCGCAGTATCTTATTTTTACCACTCTGTAGACACTTTAGAATTATATGGATAGCGATCGGCATATTAGCGGTCATATTAATGCGAAGACTTATAAGTAAAGTGAGCGGAATAAATATTCTTATGTAAGCCCTATAATTCGGGGTTTCAACTTTATTTTTTGATTTTTCCCAAAAAATCTGCAACAAAAAAAAAAAAAAATAAGTTGTGAATTAAATCAGATAACAAGAACATATTAACATCTTTGTAAGATGTTTTAGCTTCGGAATGAGATTTTTTTTTTTTTTTTTTTTTTTTGAAAAAAAATTTGCGTACAGAATCTGTTTTTTCTGCATAAGATCAGAAAATCATATTTTAGGCTTAACTTCCAAGTGATAAATTAAAACGTGTTTATTTTTGCTAGGCACTAATCTCTAGAAAAAAACTGTAATGATGCGTTTGATGCTAACTTAGCATTTTGTTAGCAAGAGTGTCAGGAAAAATTACTAAGATTAAGCTCAAGTAGATGAGAAATAAAAAAATAAGGGAAGCACAAAATAATAATATCTACTACAAATTTTTAAAATATTGCTCAAATTTTTCTTATTTAGTAAGTTCTTTTTTTTTAGATGAAAAGTGTTACAATAAGTTTACAAAAATTGTTTGTTGTTGTGATTTTTAATTCATTACCAATTACAAGGAATTGAAGCCTGAAATATTAGATGTCATTTTGAAAGATACTCTGCCCTCCAGCATTTTTTCTGATTGGCAATTTGTTGTTAATGCCATGGCCTGATTTCAAGTCTAAAATTGGAATAAATGAAACGTTTCTCTCGTGATCATTCTTGGCCTGTTTTTTTTTTTTTTTTTTTTTTTGAAAAAAATTTGCGTACAGAATCTGTTTTCTGCATAAATCAGAAAATCCATAAGGCTTAACTTCCAAGTGATAAATTAACGTGTTATTTTTGCTAGGCACTTCTCTAGAAAACTGTAAGAATGACGTTTGATGCAACTAGCAGGTTAGCTAAGAGTGTCAGGAAATTACTAAGATTAGCTCAAGTAGATGAGAAATAAAAAAATAAGGGAAGCAACAAAATAATAATATCTACAAATTTTAAAATTGCTCAAATTTCTATTAGTAAGTTCTTTTTTAGATGAAAAGTGTACAATAAGTTTACAAAAATTGTTTGTTGTGATTTTTAATTCATTACATTACAAGGAATTGAAGCCTGAAATAGTGTCAATTGAAGATCTCTCCCTCAGATTTTCTGAGCAATTGTTGGAATGCAGGCTGATTCAAGACTAAAAGTGGAAATATGAACGTTCTCCTTTGGCCCTGTTCAACATAGACTTTAAGACTCCTTTTGGAGTCAAAACTGCTAGGTCGGCTACCAAATATGATCGGCCAAGAATTTGTTTAGCTTGCATGACTCTTTTTGAAAGAATAGTCATTGTTGCTTCACCTATAATTGGTTTAGACAATGAAGAGAGAATATCTCTTCTTCTTCTTCTTCTTTTTATTTTTGTTTAAAACTTGACTGTTCTGTGGATTGATGTATTTTTATGTGTAGTTGGATTGGAATGAGCTATCAAGAAAATTTTTGTGGGGTTCAGTGAAAGAAACAGCTGAAGGATCATATGGTAGTGAATGAATCTGTATATTTGTTGGAATACATAATTAATTTCCGAGCAAGGACCCAAATGAAATTGGATAGAAGAAAAAACAAAGGGTTACGAATTTGATTACTCTATGATGTAAGACACCTAACTAAGCTTGTTATAATTAGCAAGGAAGTGATAAAAGGAAAGCCTTGATAGCACCAGAAAACATTAATAGAACTTGTAAGGCAAACAGACATATGGACCACCAAAAAAAAAAAAGAATTCTAGACGAGGCCTTGTGAAGAGGATGTGAAGCAAGTGGCCATGCTTTTAGAATCATCTGATTAAGGAAATATATGGAAAGAATACAATGTTAGAAAAAAGAAAAATCAGCAAAATATGTCATGACCGTGGAAAAGCATATTTGTGCTGAAGTACAATTACAATGACAGTGTGGAGGCTTTTTAGTTCTTATCTTCCTTGTGTTGATTAGATGAATGCCTTGAGTTCTTACATTCATTTACATGAAATCTGTCTTCTTAAATAATTTGTTTTCCTGTTTGGATGCCCTCTTGAACAACAAGGGAAAGAGATAAGAAAATAGCAGGAAATTTTGTAAATTATATAATAATCTTTCTCATTTCTATTAAAAAGAAATTATCTACATTGACTTCTCTATTTCTACCATACAAAATTGTTTTCTGTGATTGGACTAACTTGCATTCTCTTATGATCTACTCAAGCTAGAAGTTACATCAATGAAAGTATCTTCTCTGCAGGGAATTGTCAAACCACCCATCGGATGATGAAAACCATATTTCTCTTCTGCTTTACTTAGCAAATCTTGAAATGAAGGCTCATTTAGATAGGAGATGGGAACCAAATATCGCTTCTTCTCGTTCTCTCCAATGTAAACTGCTAAGAAGCCTTTTGGGACATTTGAAGAATTTGGAGATGCTTTATTTGCAGACCGGCGCAAAATTTGTTTGGCAAGAATAGTGGACAGATGTCTAGCCATTGATGGCAAGAATCAAGAAAAAGGAAGATAATTTTCTGTGTTTGTGAATTGTATTGCTAGAGAATATGCTGATATGTGTTTGCTGTGACTTTGAGCTCCAATATTTAGATATATATATAGATGAAGAACTATGTGTGTAGACATTCCTCTAATATATAGAGTGAGTGGCCTAAAATCATTTTCTCTTATCTTCTTATGACACAGCTCATAAACGGTCATGTGGTATTGCCTTCTAACTAATTAGCAATTATTAGTCATGCGTATGCAGAACTTTCATAATATGTCTACATAATGCTAGAATACCCCACAACCACATCTATAAGAAAATTGTGGTGTAGCAATAGATTTGAAATGGATTCTCAATGCCGGCACATACATGCCAGATTGACCCTTTGATTGTGAACATGCTTGAGACAAGTAGGAGAGTAGCTGGTCCAATCCATTAATTGCTTAATTAGCTGGTTCCTCATTGCCGTTGGCTATGATGTCTATCAATACACACAACATGAAGTATATGAAGTTTCTGGCCCTCAGTTGAGTAGTCTGAAGACAACACCATGTGATATCCTTATGAGCTATGACCCTCTAATAGCACATACAAGCAAATGGTTCTAAGCCAAACACTTATCTATATATAGTTAGCTACTAACTTATCCCAAATACAAAATATTATAACAAAAAAATCTTTAGGTTACTTTTTGTGATACTTTTCTAAAGAAATGACAATGGGCATTCATTTTCCTGGTGTTCTTGCTAAGCAAATTTTTCGCCATGCTTCTAGTAAAACATCCTCTTTAGATGTTCCAAAAGGATCCATACCAGTTTCTGTTGGAGAAGCACAAAGGAAGAGATTTCTAGGTCCTATATCATACTTGAATCAGCCTTCATTTCAAGTTTTGCTTAGCATGGCTGAAGAAGAGTTCAGTTTTAATCATCCAATGGGTGGTTTGACAGTTCCCTGTACAGAAGATACCTTTGACGTTGTAATTTCTTATTTGAGTACATCATAAGAGATGGTACTCCAAGGTAAATACAAAACAACAATTTTGTATGGGAGCCATTGGTTAATTCAATGTAAATATTAGTTGTAAAGGAGTAAACAATTTTGTGTAGTGAGCAAAATTATATGCTATAAATATTGGCTTTCTTTTTGCGTAGCTAGTGCTCTACACATTTGATTGTTCCTGATCTTTTATCAGAATTAGTTCTTGATATTGAATTCAAAGAGTACATTGTTTTCTTTTAAGGCACAGAGAGATAAGAAACGTTACAGGACAGGAATCATAATTTGGTTCTTCATAGATTTCCAGTCAGTTCCATTCAAAGAAAGACTTTCAAGAAAAAATATGGTCATCATTTCAGAAATAAATGAACGCCAACCTATTTATAATGCTTAAATCAGTCATCAAGGTACTCAAGTTTGCATGAAAAGACATTTTTTAATAGTTGCATCAGGTTCTCAGTAATTTTCAGTATAACCATTCAATTCATTTTAATTGCTTCTTAACTCAAATTATTGTTCATTAGCTTCCTATTTCTCCAACTCAAATTTAACTAGTACATTGTATCTCCGCGCACTCTCCGATGAGTTGTTTCTGCTTTCCAATTCAGCAGAGCAACTTGATAAAGAGAAGTCCTTATGACTTGGAATTTCCATATTACAATTGCAAAATAATTCTGCATAACAATATATGCACACTTATAAATGCAGAAGCTTTGATAAACTATGTATTTATTGTTTTATTTACAGTCCGTTAGTAGTAGTGACACTTAGGCTATTACTTTTTCTGTTGATATTTTGTTTTCTTGTAAAAATGAACAAAAGATGGCAGCAATACCAAATATGTGGTGAAGCTTATCTTGTAAAGAGTTTGTAAAAAGCAATTTGTAATCTTCTTTTAAAAGCTCATTTTAAAGCAAATTGAAAGAAAATATATTGTGTTCTAGCAAAAGATTAAAGAACTATGTTCTAAAGGAAGTGATACTTGAATAATGGATGTGATGCACTGAATTTGAAATGAAAGATTGAAAGAATAGAAGAAACTGAAGCATTACATATTTTTTTGCAATATTCTTTCCTTTGATGTCCCACTTTCTCTGAAAACTTCTTCCTTTCTAGTCAACGGTTGAGATACAAATAGGGCAAGTAAAACTCCAATAATGGCCTAAAATCTGGAGTTCATGAATTATTAGGAATAATAAATTGATGAAAAGACCTAAAATTTTCATAAAGCCAAAGAAAGCACATGATACTAAAAATTGAATTATGACCATACCTGGTATGAAAATGAATGGGGCAAGTTTGTCTTATGGTCTTCTATTGATTTCAGTGATGCATACTCTACAATTTTCTAAGGTGTGGAATAAATAGTAAAATCTTATTTACAGAAAATTATCATGTGTAGTGTAAGCGAAAATTAACTTTTTTTTAATTTATTTATTTTGACAGTGTAAGCCCAAGATCTTGAGCTAGCTAGGAATTCCCTAATGTGGTGTACAAATCAGTTCATTGAAGATATGCAGGTCAGATTTAGGAGAAAATTATACTGGTTGCATTTCTAGTCCAGGGCAGTGATGAAGCTCAAGTTCATATTTTCAGAAACAATTTAACTCCAAAATACAAACAGTTATCAAGTCCATGCATGAGTTTAAGTGCTAGTTTGGTGAAATAAATTGGTCAATTATGTTTCTCTTTCTCTCTCTCTTTCTTTTTTATTTTTTCATTTCTTCTTGGTATATATGCAATAAATTATGACTGAAGATAAGTTGAATGAAAAATAAGGAAGATGAGAAAGCAAAAGGCAATTGTAAATTATGTAATAATATTTCTAATTCTATTGCCAAGGAAGTATCTATAATGATTTCTTAATTTGACTTTACAAAAATATTTTCTGTGATTAGACTAGTTTGAATTCTCTTATGATCTAGCCAAGCTACAAGTTACATCAATAAAAGTATCTTCTCTGCACGGAATTGTCAAACCTCCCATTGGATGATCAAAACCATACTCCTCTTCTGCTTTGCTTAGCAAATCTTGAAATGAAGGCTCATTCAGATAGGATACCGGAACTAGAAAACGCTTCTTTTCGGTCTCTCCAACGTAAACTGCTAAGAAACCTTTTGGTAATGAATATTTAGACGAGGCTTTATTTGCAGATCGGTGCAGAATTTGCTTGGCAAGAATTGCAGACAGATGTCTAGCCATGTTGTGTAACTATATGGGAAAGAATCAAGAAAAAGGAAGATAACTTTTTTTGGAATTGAAGATTATTGTTGTAGAATATGCTGACCTATGCTGGAGATGACATGAGACTCTAGTTTATGAGTATATATAGACAGTCCTCTAACATATGGAGTGACCTAGATCATTTTCTGTTATCTGCTTAGGACATAGGCCTTAGAGAGTCATGTGGTCTTGCCTTGTAACCAATTAGCATATATTGGGTCCCTGCACATGTATAACTTTAATACCATTCTACATGTTAGAAAAGAAGCATACCCCACAACCATATCAATAACCAAATTATGATCTAGCAAAAGATTTGAAATGGATCTCATCAATGCCAGGATGCCTTACAACCAACCACATGTATAAATATTTGAAAGGAAATGGTTGAGACAATTGTTGAGTATATATATTCCTGAAGTAACTCTTTGATTCGAGACATGCTCGCGACAACTACTATAGTCTTAAATAGGGAAGATAAGACATAAATTGCAGAAGGAAAATTTGAGAACTCAAAAAAAAGTGGAAGATGTGTGATCATAGTACATGATTCACGTGATCTGCATTGGAGTTTGTCTTGAATAGGTATTGGTACATTCAAGAAACGAAGCAGGCTGGCCATTTATATTGGTATTCTAATTTATTTAGTACATTCGTACCTTTTTTTTATTTTATAAGCTTTTCAACTTTATCCATTCAATACATTTCCTATTCTTTATTTTTCCTTTATATGAACACATAAGCAACTAGTTGACCAAAACCTGTCCTAAATCAAATATTTGCTTTAAGGACATCCACTAAACAAAGCATGCATCACCATTTATTATCCATTTATCCAATTTCAAATCTTTTTCTTGACCTGATTTCAGTCAAACAGATCTTGTTTGGCATTCTAACGTATAGTATTAAATTTATCGCCCCACACAGCCTGATATTTGCTGTTTAGTCAGAAGGCAAGACCATGTGGCCCTTATTGGGCAATGTTCTGAGCAGATTGCAACAGCAAACTATTTTGAGGACTGTATGTTAGAGGACTGTGTACACATACTTCTTCATCTATATATATCTAAATATCGGATCCAGTAGTCACAGCAAACACATATCAGCATATTATCCAGCAATACAATTCACATACACAGGAAACTATCTTCTTTTTAATTGATTCTTTCCATCAATGGCTAGACATCTATCTACTATTCTTGCTAAACAAATTCTGCGCCGGTCTGCAAATAAAGCATCTTCAAGTTCTTCAAATGTCCCAAAAGGCTTCTTAGCAGTTTATATTGGAGAGAAAGAGAAGAAGCGATATTTGGTTCCTATATCCTATCTAAATGAGCCTTCATTTCAAGATTTGCTAAGTAAAGCAGAAGAGGAATATGGTTTTGATCATCCAATGGGTGGTTTGACAATTCCCTGCAGAGAAGATACTTTTATTGATGTAACTTCTAGCTTAAGTAGATCATAAGAGAATGAAAGTTAGTCCAACCACAGAAAATAGTTTTGTATGGTAGAAATAGATCAATGTAGATAATTTATTTTTAATAGAATTTATCTTATAATTTGCAATCTTCTGCTATTTTCTTGTCTCTTTTCCTTTTTGTTTAACAGGGCATCCAAACAGGAATATTTAAATTAAAAGAAATTATGAAAAGTTTGAATTCTTTTAGGAAGAAAAGAAAGAAGAAGATAAGGTGAGCCAAAATTGTTTGACAATTGTTTTTCTAGTATGTTTTCCTTTTTGTTTATCTAGCTCTTGAACAGGAAAATTTTTTATCGAACAAATTTCACTTGATCTCCATTGGGTATGCGTTGAATAGTAATATTATGCAATCAAGAAACAAAAAATATTGGAGGTTTTTGTTCCAAAAAGATTAAACAATAATTATACTAGTAATCGCCAAAACTATCAATTAATTATCATTTATCTTCTCCACAATTCTTTTATCTGTGAGTTCTTCCCCCAATATCTGATCTGATTTACAACTTTCATTTATTTGCTTGAATAATCCTTGAAAATTTCAGTGTCTTTCATCCTGAGCATCTCAAACTCCCTTCTGAAATTCAGAACCTACTTTTTTTGTGTTTTACATGGCTTGAAATTCTTCTTTCAGTTTATCCTATATTTCTTGGCAGTTTAACAAGCTCTGATCCTAGCAAAGTCCAATTCATTCAAACCTGAATGTATGCAGGTAAGTGCTTTAAAAATTGTTGCAACCTCTCACGGTCATTCTTCATCTGAATTGCAGTAGGATTATTTGGCAAAGGACTTGGTTCCTTATTAGTATCAAAAAAACTCCTACAGATCGTAAGCTTGAAGGTAGACTTTCAATTTAACAGCCCAGAGAGCATAACTTTCTCCTGCAAAGACAGGAGGTTATGGAGCACAGAAGCCATTTTGAGGCCATAAAAAAAAACGAACTCTTTCTTCCGGTTTGTGGGGGGTTTTCCTTTGCTGGTTTTCATAGTCCCTCAGGACCTCAAAGTGCTCTAATACCACTTCATAAGCTGAGAGGAGGACAAAAAAATTCCATAAAATAAAAAAGGAAGGCAAAATAGCAGCATACATTCAATCAATCAAAATGAGTTTTACAAAGATTACAATTTGCTTTTTACCAAGTCATTAACTAATACTTCCTAAACCAAAAGTTTACGTTAATCTTCACTTCAACATCATTGCTATCAGATTTCGTTCATTTTTACAACCAAAAAAAAAAAAAAAAAAAAAAAATTATTGGAGCCACAGAAAAGCCATTTTGAAGGCCATAAAAAAACGAACTCTTTCTTCCGGTTTGTGGGGGGTTCCTTTGCTGGTTTTCAAGTCCCTCAGGACTCAAAAGTGCTCTAATACCACTTCATAAGCTGAGAGTATGGACAAAAAAATTCCAATTAAATAAAAAGGAAGGCAAATAGCAGCATACATTCAATCAATCAAGAATGAGTTTATTAAAGATACAATTTGCTTTTACCAAGTATTAACTAATATCTTCTATAACCAAAAGTTTTACGTAATCTTCATCTTCAACATCATTGCTATCAGAATTCGGTTCATTTTTACAAACCAAAAAAATTATATTAAAAAAAAAAAAAAAAAAAAAAAAAAAGGAACATGCTGAGTGACAGCCTAAGGGTACCTAGAGCTAACACTAAGCTTTATATTCATATTATGCAACAAACTGTAAATCAAACAGCAACCACTAGTTTATGAAAGCTTTAGCATGTATGAGTGTGAATATATCGTAATGGAGAATTATTTCTTATAATATGGACATTCCAAGTCAAAAGGATTTGTCTTTATTAAGTTGCTTTGCTGAAATTGTATAGCAGAACAGAAACAACTCATTGGAGAGCATGATAAAAAAATAAAATATACTTCTTAATCTGAGTTAGGGAAATAAATGCTAAATAAAGTTAGACTGATAATTACAAAGAACCTCATACAACCATTAGAAAATGGCTTTTCATGCATACTCAAGTACCTTGATGACTGATTTAATGACCTTAAAAACTGGATTTGCCTTTCATTTAGTTTTGCAAGTCAATAACTACATTTGTCTTCTGAGTTCTTCTTCAAATGAAATTGATTGGAAATGTATGAAGAACCAATTCCAGTCTAGTAACATTTCTTACTTTGGCGTGCACTAAAATAAAAAAAATGCATATTTTGATTTCACTATCAAGAATTAACTTGTTCTGATAAAACAGGGCTGTCAATAGAGCACTGGCCACGCAAAAAGAAAGAGAAAATTTAGGGCAAATAATTTTTCTCATTACACAAAATTGTTCAATTCTTTACAACTCATATTTACATTGAATTAATCAGGGCCTGCCCTACGAAATTGCTATTTTATAGTTGCCTTCGAGTACCATTTCTTATGATGTGCTCAAATTAGAAATGACAGCATCAAAAGTATCTTCTGTGCAGGGAATTGTCAAACCACCCATTGGATGATCAAAACCGAACACTTCTTCAGCTGTGCTAAGCAAATCTTGAAATGAGGGATGATTCAAGTATGATAAGGGAACCAGAAATCTCTTCCTTTGTGCTTCTCCAACACAAACTGCTACAAAGCCTTTTGGAACATCTAAAGAGAATGATTTACCAGAAGCTTGGCGAAAAAGTTTCTTAGCAAGAACCCCAGGTAAATGAATACCCATTGTATATTTCTTGAGAAAATAATCGCAAGAAGTAACTTAAAAGAGCTTTTTTTTTTTTCGTATTTGAATTTTTGAGTTGTTTTTGATAAGCCAGTAGCCAAGAATATATAGATGAGTGTTTGGCTTGAACTAATTGCCTGTGTCCGCTATTAGGGTCATAGCTTATGCGGTATCACATGGTATTGTCTTCTAACCACTCGACTAGGGGCAAGAAAATTCATATCCTTCATGTTGTGTGTATTGATGGACATCATAGGCAATGACCATGAGGGACCATTTAAATAAGCAATTAATGGATTGAACCAGCTGTTCTTAATATATATTTCACTCGACCGATTCTCTCAAGCGTGCTGTTCATCAAAGGGTCAATCTGGCATGTATATGCTGGCATTAAGAATCCATTCTGCTACAAAGCCTTTTGGAACATCTAAAGAGGATGATTTACCAGAAGCTTGGCGAAAAAGTTTCTTAGCAAGAACCCCAGGTAAATGAATACCCATGGTATATTTCTTGAGAAAATAATCGCAAGAAGTAACTTAAAAGAGCTTTTTTTTTTTCGTATTTGAATTTTTGAGTTGTTTTTGATAAGCCAGTAGCTAAGAATATATAGATGAGTGTTTGGCTTGAATTAATTGCCTGTGTCCGCTATTTGGGTCATAGCTTATGCGGTATCACATGGTATTGTCTTCTAACCACTCGACTAGGGGCAAGAAAATTCATATCCTTCATGTTGTGTGTATTGATGGACATCATAGGCAATGACCATGAGGGACCATTTAAATAAGCAATTAATGGATTGAACCAGCTGTTCTTAATATATATTTCACTCGACCTGTATGTCCTTCCTAACCACTCGATTCAGGATGGCAAGAAAATTTCATATCCTTCATGTTGTGTGTTATGATGGATTTTTGAGTTGTTTTTGATAAGCCAGTAGCTAAGAATATATAGATGAGTGTTTGGCTTGAATTAATTGCCTGTGTCCGCTATTTGGGTCATAGCTTATGCGGTATCACATGGTATTGTCTTCTAACCACTCGACTAGGGGCAAGAAAATTCATATCCTTCATGTTGTGTGTATTGATGGACATCATAGGCAATGACCATGAGGGACCATTTAAATAAGCAATTAATGGATTGAACCAGCTGTTCTTAATATATATTTCACTCGACCGATTCTCTCAAGCGTGCTGTTCATCAAAGGGTCAATCTGGCATGTATATGCTGGCATTAAGAATCCATTTCAAATCTTTTGCTATACTTTAATTTGCTTATATATGTGGCTGTGGGGTATTCTAGCATTCTAACAGGTAGACAAAATATGAAAGTTATGAATACACTTGACTGATAAATACTAATTAATTAGAAGGCAAGACCACATGACCCTTTATGATCTATGTCCTTAATCGATTAGAGAGAATGATTTTAGGCCACTTCCTCTATATGTTCGAGGACTGTCTATTCACATACTTCATCTATATATAGCTATACATTGAAGCCACAAGTCACAGCAAACATATATCAGCATATTCACTAGCAATACCCAGAAAACAATCTTCTTTTTCTTGATTCTTTCCCACCAATGGCTAGGCATCTGTCTTCTGTTCTGGCTAAACAAATTCTGCGCCGGTCTTCAAATAAAGCATCCTCAAGTTCTTCACATGTACCGAAAGGTTTCTTAGCAGTTTATATTGGAGAGACAGAGAAGAAGCGATATTTGGTTCCAATATCCTATCTAAATGAGCCTTCATTTCAAGATTTGCTAAGCAAGGCAGAAGAGGAATATAGTTTTGATTATCCGATGGGCGGTTTGACAATCCCCTGCAGAGAAGATACTTTTCTTGATGTAACTTCTAGCTTGACTAGATTATAGGAGAATTCAAATTAGTCTCATCGCAGAAAACAATTTTGTATAGAATAAATGGACAAGTCAATGTAGATACTTTCTTTTTTTAATAGAATGAGAGAGATCATTATATAATTTGCAAATTCCTGCTATTTCCTTTTCTTTTCCCATATGATATTTCTGTTGATCTATCTTCTAGCTTGAGTAGATCATAAGAGAATGCAAGTTAGTCTAATCACGGAACAATTTTGTACAGCCAAAATCTCCAAGTCAATGTAGATACATACTTTGGAAGGATGAGGAAGACTATTACATAAGCAATTTGTGGCCTAGTAAAAGGTTATAAAGTTATATTCTTAAGGAAGATTCAGTTGAACAATGGATGAGATGCACTGAATTTGAAAAGGAAAATCGAAAGAATAAAAGAAACTGAAGCATTATAGACTTTTTGACAATATTCTTTCCTTTGATGTCCCACTTTCTCTAAAAACTTTATTTCTTACTAGTCAAAGGTTGAGATACAAATAGAGTAAGTAAATCCCCAATTATAGCCTAAAATCTGGACTGCCTGAATTATGAGGAATAGTAAAATGAAGAAAAGACCTAAAATTTTCATAAAATGCTATGGAGAGCACATGCTACTAAAAATTGAATCATGACCATACTCATGTGAAAAAGAATGGGACGAGGTTGCCTTATGGTAGCTTTCTTCTTCTATTGATTTCAGTGATGCATACTCTATAATTTTCTAAGTTGTGGAACAAATAGTAAAATCTTAGTTTACAGAAACCTTATCATGTGTAGTGTACATGTTTCTTTTTTTTTATTGTATTATATAGTTAGAAAAATAGCCTTCCAAGCAAAAATAATTGAGTTGCTATGTTCAAATTGACAGTGTAAGCCCAAGAATTTGGCTAGCTAGGACTTCCCTGATGTGGTGTAGGAATCAGTTCATTTAAGATGTGCAAATCATATTTAGGAAAAATTATGTTGGTTGCATTTCTTCTCCAGGGCAGTAATGAAGCTCAAGTTCATATTTTCAGAAACAATTAAACTCCGAGTAGCTATGAAGTCCATATCAGTACAAAATCTAGAATTTGCACTATGCAAAAAATAATTCTGACATTCATGAGTTTGAGTGCTACTTTGATGAAACAACTTAGTGAATTCTGTTTCACTAAGAGGGAAGATGAGAAAACAGAAAAGCAGTTGTAAATTATGTAATAATCCTTCTAATTCTATTGCAAAGTAAGTATCTATAATGACTTAATTTGGCCTTACAAAATTGTTTTCTGTGATTAGACTAATTTGAATTCTCTTATGATCTAGCCAAGCTACAAGTTACATAAATAAAAGTATCTTCTCTGCATGGAATTGTCAAACTGCCCATTGGATGATCAAAACCATACTCCTCTTCTGCTTTGCTTAGCATATCTTGAAATGAAGGCTCTTTCAGATAGGATACCGGAACTAAAAAACGCTTCTTTTCGGACTCTCCAACATAAACTGTGTCATAGCCCTGACCTGGTCAGTATTGTCCGCTTTAGGCTTTGCAACCCTCACGGATTTGTCCCTCAGGCAAGCTTTGCAACCCTCCCAAAAGCGCGCTAACCAAGTTAGAAGGCCAGCACACCCCCCCTTGTTATAGCCCTGACCTGGTCAGTATTGTCCGCTTTAGGCTTTGCAACCTTCACGGATTTGTCCCTCAGGCAAGCTTTGCAACCCGCCCAAAAGCGCGCTAACCAAGTTAGAAGCTACCCCTCTTATGTATAGATCGTTTACCCCGTCCTTAACCGATTTAGAGTGTCCAGCACACCCCGCTCCTTGTTATAGCCTGACCTGGTAACTTTTATTTGTCCGCTTAAGGCTTTTTTGCAAACCTTCACGATTTTGTCCATCAGGCAAGCTTTGCATACCCGCCCCAATTATATAGCGCGCTATTTATCTTTCAATGTTTAGAATAGCTTACCCCTCTTATGATATAGATCGTTTACCCTCGTCCTTTTAACGGCGATGTGAAATTGATTTTGCCTAAGCTTGTGCTGGCGCCTTTTGCCACATACATTTCCCCCCTTTGGGTGAACTCAGTCGTATCCTCGTTTCGTGTTGTTTTTTTTTCGTTTTTTTTGGCTGAGGTTTGCCCCACCACCGCCAGAGTTGCACAGGGCCGCTCTGAACTAATTGTCATATGCCCCTGACTCTGGGTCAGTATTGTCCAGCTTTATGGTCTTTGGCAACCCCACGGATTTGTCCCCTCAGGCAGGCTTTTGCAACCCGCCCAAAAAGCGCGCTAACCAAGTTAGAAGCTATTGTCCGCTTTAGGCTTTGCAACCCTCACGGATTTGTCCCTCAGGCAGGCTTTGCAACCCGCCCAAAAGCGCGCTAACCAAGTTAGAAGCTACCCCCTCTTATGTATAGATCGTTTACCCCGTCCTTAACCGATGTGGGATTTGCCTAAGGTGTGCTGGCCTTACCACAAACTGCTAAGAAACCTTTTGGTAAATTTGAATATTTAGACGAGGCTTTATTCATAGATCGGTGCAGAATTTGCTTGGCAAGAATTGCAGACAGATGTCTAGCCATAGTGTGTAACAATGTGGGAAAGAATCAAGAAAAAGGGAGAAAATTTTCTTTGTACTTGAAGATTATTGCTTTAGAATATGATGACTTATGTTGGATATGACATGAGACTCTGGTATATGAGTATATATAGACAGTCCTCTAAAATATGGAGTCGGTTAGATAATTTTCTGTTATCTGCTTAGGACATAGGCCATAGAGTCATGTGCCCTTGCTTGTAACCAATTAGCATATATAGGGTCATGCACATGTAAAACTTTAATACCATTCTACATGTTAGAAAAGAAGCATGCCCCGCAATCATATGAATAAACAAAATATGCTCTAGCAAAAGATTTGAAATGGATATCATCAATGCCAGGATACCTTACAACCAACCACATGGTTGTGGGGTATTCTAGCATTCTAACAGGTAGACATAGTATGAAAGTTATGCATACGCTTGACAAATAATTGCTAATCAGTTATAAGGCAAGACCGGATGACCCTTTACAAGCTATGTCCTAAGCAGATAAGAGAGTGATTATAGGCCACTCTATGTGTTAGAGGTCTGTCTATACACATGCTTCTTCATCTGTATATATCTACATGTTGGAGCCAGATAGCAAACATACATCAGCATATTCTCTAGCAATACACAGAAAACAATCTTATTTTTTTCTTGATTTTTTCCCACCAATGGCTAGACATCTGTCTTCTTTCTAGCTACACAAATTCTTCGCCGGACTTCAAATAAA